CCGTCGGGTGCTGACTGCTGCTACTACTGCCGTGGCTGTGGGTAATCGACACCGTGGGGCCCTTCATCGCGCTACTGCCGCTGCTGTCATTGACGCTGTTGTTGCTGGCGGTGGATGTGGTGGTGGTGAGGGTGGAGATGATGTAGGGTAAGCTGGATGCGTCTACCGCGGACGATGTCGCTGTCGATGAGGATGATGATGACTGTGGCCACAGCTGGGGAGAAATGAATTAAATTATAAATAAACTAGCCGGGCCCCCTTTCGATGAAAGGAATGATCGGAGCATTAACATCAACTTAAAGTCATTGGCCAACTATATTTACACTCTACTGGAATGGAGCAATAAATCTTGAGAGATGCAAAAAATTAGAATGACTAGATCTATACTCTCAAAACAAAATGCGCCTCACAAAATATCACTACTGGCAGTTTCCAAGTTGCCAAATACATAATAAATTACATTTTTAAAATTGATCCCCAAAGGGCAATTTGGTTTAGTTTAGTTTTAGTAAAATTTTACAGCGTACGTAACTGCATAAAGTCATATGAGTGCCAAGGGGTGGATGTCAATAGAGAAGTCCAAACGGGGAATCAGACTTACTCTGCTCACCTCTCTAGCTTCAACAGCACAAAGTCTGCTTCGACTATCAAGGCACCCCGAAAATAGCGGGTCACAAGAGAGTGATAAACATACAGAAGAAGTTGAGGAAAATGACGATAGTAAGGATGAATCCAAAGTGGTGACAGACTCTTACGACTAACACACTCACCAGCGAGTTCGCGAGAACGGGCGTCTGCCTGAGTTGAGTCGAAGCCTCAACAGGCTGTTGCTGCGGCTGCGGCTGCGATGGCTGCGGCGCCTGCATGCACTTGGGCATGTGCGTGGGCCAGTGTCGCTGCTGGCACTTGTAGCTGCAGTAGCTCGTGTTCCAGCAGCAGTAGTAGACGGCCTCCTTCCAGCACTGAGCACACTGGAATAGGTAGTTTAGTTTTAGTAGAGGTTTTACGGCGCTCCCATCTGCATAAGGTCATACGAGCGCCAGCAGATTAGAGGTGTTACAAGAGAGTAACAAACATAAAAAAGAAGAAGGGGAGATTTTTAAAAAAAAAATAGTAGAGGGTTTTACGGCGCTCGCAATTGCATAAGGTCATATGAGCGCCAAGGGGTGGGTGTCAACAGAGAAGTCCTTACAGGGAATCAGACTTACTCTGCTCACCTCTCTAGCTTCAACAGCACAAAGTCTGCTTCGACTATCAAGGCACCCCAGAAATAGCAGGTCACAAGAGTGTGACAAACATACAAAAGAAGTAGAGGAAAATGATAATAGTAAGGATTAGGAAAGAAAACGCAGCAGTTCCCTGTTGTAGATCAGGCACAGCTATGAGCGAGACATGATGAGTCAGTCCATTTACAATTCTACTGTGCATGAACGAGAATGTCCCCCCTTTGGGAATGACCTAAAGACACTATAGTCAGTGGTACTGCCCTGGGGGGGTGGTAGAGGATTTACGGCGCTCGCAACTGCATAAGATCATATGAGCGCCAGCAGATTAGAGCTGTTACAAGGGAGTAACAAACATGAAAAAGAAGAAGGGGAGATAAGGACGATAGATGACTGAGAGTAGAGAAGAAGCAAACCACACCAGAGCACCTGCCAACCACCCACACACTGGAATACACGTGCCAACACACAACACAACACGCTTTAGTTTCATGTTGGTTTGAGTGAAGAGATGCACATCTTCATCATCTACACACTTAACAAGCATATAGTGCAGAGGAAAAAGCAAGATTGATAGACAGAAACAACAGCGGTAGTAGACTGCCTCCTTCTAGCACACAGAGCACACTGCGACACACACAGCAGCACACAACACGCCTTAGTTTTTTTGCTGCCACTCACCCACTGATGTTTCTTGGTCTCTGCGATGGAGCGCTCCATGGTCTTGCTGAACTGCTCTTCTAGCGACTCCACCAGCTTCTTCTTCTGAGCTTCGTAGGACAGCTGCATCTCCTGCAAACTTTTCTCTGTAGGAAGAAACGAGGTCATTGGACTGAATCGTGAATTAACTCTTTGCGCCCTGACCCCCTGATGCTACCACCATGCACCTCTGTCTGAGCTCCTGAGCGACGTATTACTAACATTCGAATGGGTCCGAATCACTTTCCATATCCCACTCCAGAGCGACGTATTACTAACATTCGTATGATCGTCCGAATCACTTTCCATATCCCACTCCAGAGCGACGTATTACTAACATTCGTATGATCGTCCGAATCACTTTCCATATCCCATCCAGAGTCAGAGCAGTCCTTGTCATCACCGGTATCTAATTCAGAAAGATCTTCAATATAATCCATAACGTCCTGTGTAGTAAATTCAGTTTCCCGAGCCAGTTTTGTCCCAGGTAGGCTGTTTTTTTCCCCCCTTACAAGAGTTTTACGGCACTTACAACACAATAAGGCCATATAAGTGCTGAAGATAAGAAGGTATTACAAGAGAGTAACAAACACAAAAAAAAAGGAAGGGAGAAAAAGGCGAAAGATGTTTGATAGGAAAGAAGGAGCAAACCACACCAGAGCACCCGCCAACCACCCACATGCCGGTTTGGGAATATGGTCTCGGCGGTCATCGCTGTACCGGTGGCTACGCACCACCGCTCAAAGGGTTAAAGTCGTGTTGTGCTGGGGCAAAAGCAAGACAGAAGCTACGACTGGTGAGTATGAGACTGTAATATATGTTACTTTTCAAAATGGCGTAAGGTGGAGTCTCAAACCTTAACTCTTTATCTCCGTTAAGCCGCGGCTCGTGGTCGGAACACTGTGTCAGTCAGTGAGCTGCTGACAGCGGCTCAGGCACATTCCTTTGTGACGACTTTGACATCAAATTACTTCTCGGCAATTGCCGAAAACAGGTCTCTTTTATTGGGAGTTCTTTCATAAGACGAAGAACTATCAAAATAGACTCACCTGTTTTGATTTAATGACCCATTTAATGACGTTTTTGTCATTTTTAGATTTAGAGCCAAAGAAGGGGCTCGGCATAGTGGGTTTACTCCCCACCGAGAAGAAGAGCTAAGCAGTTGATTTGCGATTTCTTGTTTTGGAGTAAAAGAAGCACATCGACACAGTCGTGAGGTCACTTAGTATGGAAAAAGTAAGGCAGACAGAACAACAGGGCGATAGAAAAAAAAAAATGCAAGTGTGTGTGTGTATGTGTGTTGAAACACCGAACCAAAGAGGCAGTATTTGAACAATAAAGCTTTATCTTATCTTATCTCTTTTAAGTTATCTAGATCTATATTATCTTTATATATTTTAACTTTAAAAATTTTTTTTTTTTAAACTGCTGTCCTTTTGTGCATACAGTTAATGTATGGTTGTGAAAGTTCTTCCTTAAGTTGTTGAACTGGTTTTTCTTATTTCTGTGAAATATTTTTTCTGGTGCGAATGATTATGAGACAGGTGTAAAGCGCTCAGAGCTTATACTAGTATGGGATAGAGTGCTATATAAATGCAATCTATTATTATTATTATTATTATTATTAACTTATCTCAACCACGACAAACGATTCTCCACTCACTTGACGTGTGTGCCAGATCCGTCAGTCTCTGGTTCAGTTTCTTGTTCTGTTATCTATATTATCTTTATATCTATTTCAACTTATCTACGACCACGACAAACGATTCTCCACTCACTTGACGTGTGTGCCAGATCCGTTAGTCTCTGGTTCAGTTTCTTGTTCTGTTATCTATATCATCTTTATATCTATTTCAACTTATCTACGACCACGACAAACAATTCTCCACTCACTTGACGTGTGTGCCAGATCCGTTAGTCTTTGGTTCAGTTTCTTGTTCTCCACTACCAGTTTGTCATGACTGGAGGTGGCCACCTGGAAGAGACAGAGAGGGAGAAATGTTTTATTTTTAGTACGCGTTTTACGGCACTTGCAACACAATAAGGTCATATAACTGTCCCTGTGGCTTTATGCACCCCGCATAATTTAGCAAAATTTGATCATTTTTGTGCATAATTTCTCAATATCTTCCATTATCATTCTGTGTAAAAAATTAACAGAATCGCGTAATTTCACATTTTTGAGCTCAGTTTGCATAATTTCAGAATTTTTCTTGCATAAAACGATGGGGACAGATATAAATGCCGAAGATTAGAGGTGTTACAAGAGAGAGTAATAAACACACACAAAAAAAAGGAGGGGAGATGAAGACGATAGATGTTTGATAGGAAAGAAGGAGCAAACCACACCAGAGCACCCGCCAACCACCCACTGAGAGGAAGAATATGATCCACACATACACACATATCCTAAAACACACACACACACACACACACAAACTCAGAAACACACAAACACAGACACGACTCTAAACATTTACAATAACTCAAATGTAAACATCATATTATTTTTATATACTGACAGACGCACTCCCTCTCACTCTCCCTCCCTCTCCTTACTCTCTCCCTTTCTCTCTTTCCTTCCTCCCCCCTCTCCCCCCCACCCCTCTCTCAGTGAAGAATAGTTGGAGAAAATAAAACAAAACATGCAACCCCCCCCCAAAAAGAACCAAAACAAAATAAAAACAAACAAAACAAAACCAAACACCAACAAAAAAGTCTCCTAAAAAAACTAGCAAAAAAAAACAACAACACACACACACAGAGAAAAAACCCCCAAACAAAAACACAGCCACTAAAAACCCCCACAAAACAACACCCCCGAAAAAACCCAAAATCAAAACAAAAACAACCAACAAACAAACCAAAACAACAACCTCAAATAAAGGAAGGAATATTGAAGATTTGGGACAGGGTACGGGGGTGGGGGGTGGGGTGAGGGGTACGGGGGTGGGGGGTGGGGTGAGGGGTGGGGGAGGGGGAGGGGGGACACACATCTTGACAAATAAACCTGTCTGGGAAAACTCACGGGGTCAGGGGTCACCGACTTCTCCAGCTCCGTCACGAGGGAGTCGATCTGAGACTGCAGCGACTTCTTGATCTGATCGGGACAAAAACAAAACTTTCTGCAGTCAGACTTGTGGGTTTTTAAATATTTTTTTAAAGCGCTAATTGTTGAGGACAGGACGTAGGGAGAGAGTGTGTGTGTGTGACAGACAGAGAGTGTGTGTGTGACAGAGAGAGAGACAGAGAGAGATGGAGGGGCGGAAAGGGGGGAGAGAGAGAAGGGGAGACAGAGAAAGAGAGAGATGGAGAGAGAGAAAGAGTGAGAGAGAGGGAGGGGGAGAGAATGTGTTAAGCAGAGAAAAATAAAGAGAGAGAGAGAAAGAAAAAGACAAAGAGAGAGCGTGAAAGAGAGAAAAAGAGCGAGAAAGAGAGAGAGAAAGAAGGAAAAAAAGAGAGAGAAAGAAAAATTTATTCAGATTTTGAACTTGAATAAAGTAGGACAGCTCTCTGTAGTAAATCTAGAGGAGCACAGCTCCATTCAATCTACCAATGACTGCACCCGCCAACCACCACCCACCATAAATATCCCGAGACATATCTGTGTAGCATGATGACAAAATGAGTTACTTCTTGTATTCTAACCCTCTGGAAATAGATACATCTTGCTTATTGGTGAAGTTTTTACAATTTATAAGTATGAAATGATAAAAGGCAGGTTATATTTAAAGAATATGGCATCAATAGAAAATCTACAAATTTGACCCTAGATTTCTGGCCAATATCTCCATTTGTGGATTGTGAGAAGTAACTTATTTTGTTTGTTTTAGTAGAGGTTTTACAGCGCTTGCAACAGCATAAGGCCATATGAGTCCAAGGGGTGGATGTTAAGAGAGAAGTCCTTACAGGAAATCAGGCTTACTCTGCTCACCTCTCTAGCTTCAACAGCACAAAATCTGCTTCGACTATCAAGGCACCCAGGAAATAGCGCGTCACAAGAGGGTGACAAACATACAAAAGTGGTAGAGGAAAAGTGACGATAGTAAGGATTAGGAAAGAAAAAGCAGCAGTTCCCTGTTGTAGATCAGGCACTATTATTATGAGTATGACATTGATGAATCAGCCCATTTACAATTACAATTCTACTGTGCATAAGAACTCGAGATGTTAATGTCCCCCCCTTTGGGAACGGCCTAACTCATTTTGTCAGCACGCCTCACAATTCTATCCCTGGATAATGAACAGTTACCTCCTCCACTCTCTTCTGCACCAGCGTCTGTGTTTCCGATGGAGTTTTCTCGGAGGATACCGACGCCACGCTTGGGCTGGAACACAAAAAAATTTGTCTGTTTAAAGGTGAAGAGAAGCACATTCACCCGATTGTGGTAATTCATTCAAGAAATGGTGAAATGGTTTGGGTTTAACACCCCTATCAACACGGTTTGGTCATTTAAGAGGCGGGACCTCCGAGTTTAACGTCCATCTCTGAAAGGACCGAGCCAAGTGGGAAATTCATGTAAAGTGTCTTTCCCAAGGACACAACGTCGGACCGAGCTGAGGCTCGAACCATAAATCATTCAGAACAAGGAAAAAAAGTTTTTAGTATAAGTAAGAGTTTTATGGCACTTGCAACACAATAAGGTCATATAAGTGCCAAAGATTAGAGGTGTTACAAGAGAGTAACAAACATAAAAAAGAAGAAGGAGAGATAAAGACGATAGTTGATCGATAGGAAAGAAGGAGCACACCACATCAGAGCACCTGCTAACAACTCACCAAGGAAAAAACCCAGCTAAGATGGACATGTAGAAACAACATAGGGACAGGAGTTTGTTTGTTTGAGTAAAGACAAATACATTGACACACGAATGGTCATTCAGTGCAGGGAAAATGTAAGACAAACAGACAGACAGAAACAACACAGGGAAAATAAAGAAGTAGGACCTGCCAGTGACGCCCTCCAGCCACCAACTATTTTGTATGAGTACAGAAAAGAACATCAACACAATAATTGTCATTCAGTGCAGGGAAAAAGTAAGACTGACAGACAGACGGACGGACAGACAGACAGACAGACAGACAGACAGACAGACAGACAGAAATGACATAGGGAAAGTAAAGAAGTAGGCCCCCCCCCCACACGATACACAAACACACTCGCTCCCACACACACACACAACACACAAACACACTCGCTTCCACACACACTAAAACACACAACACACCCAAACACTCATATGCACACACAAATTAACACACACAACACACTCGCTCCCACACATCACATCTCATCACCCACAACCAAACACTCAAAGCACACACACATCACATCTCATCACCCGCAACTCACAAACACACTCGCTTCCACAACTCACCCGTCATCCTGCAGAGTCACTGACGCGCCAGGCAGACTAACCGTGTCACGTGACTTGGCTGGCTGGACTGTCACTGACGCAACACCACTGCCACCTGCCGTCTCCGTCCGGCCTGACGTCACAGAAGCAGCCACAGATGACGACGACAGAGTTGTCTCCCTGCTCATGACACCACCACGACCCACATCAACAGACACCGTCGGCACGCCCATCTCCTCAGAAGACCTTCGAATCGTGCTCCCTTCACCATTCTCACGTGACCTCACCGTTGTCGCGTTATTTTTAGCCACATCCGACGCTTCAGAAGGGGAACCACATTCCTGGACATCCGAGTCCGTATCGGAACCATCCCCAACGTCCTCCAAATCATCGAGGGAGATCACCATGGTGTTTTCCGACATTGTCACGGTAGACGGGAGCTTGCGCTGATCTTTTTTTGCCGACGGTTTTTCCGCTCTGTTCTGGGCGGCCGGCTGAGGTGAGATAGAAACGGTGACCGGATCGGACGTGCTCGCCGAAGTCCCAGATTTACTTTTATTTTGTCGGAGAATGTTGACGGTCGCCAGCTGGCGGGAGATTTGTCCCTCTCCGGGTTCTATCACAACGCACGGATTGTCCTCCGAGACGGGAACTGCACCCGACAGAGATGATGGAGAGCACGATGACGAAGAGGAAGACGAAGAGGAAGACGTACATATTATGGCAGCGGCCGACGACAACGGGAGATTTTGAGAGGAGGGAGCAGCTGTCGTTGAGGTAGCTGACATGACTGACGTGGAAGTTTGACTCTTGTTGCTCAGGGTTTGAACTCTATCCATGTGGGACGAAGTCACACCCGTGTGGGACGAGGTCACCCCCTCGTTCTCCTTTCCACCTTTCTCACCATCATCGTCATCGTTGTCGTCGTCGTTGTTATCGTCCTCGATGAGGATGCTGTTCTCACTTCCCTCGTCTATGACTTCATCCCCTCCCCCTTCCTCCTCCTCACACTCCACCTCCATGTCCAGACTCACAGTCTCGCTCACGTTCTCACCATCATCATCATCGTCATCATCATCATCCTCAACACCAATCGCTTCTTCAACAAAACCATTGTCATCATCATCATCATCATCGTCATCATCAAGTGTTATCACATGTGGGCTAGGAGACCCCTCTTCAACTTCATCCCCAGCTTTGCCCGCTTCAGAGCCATTTTTCTCTTCCCCAGTAAGATTCTTGTTTTTTTCCGGCAAATTTCGATCCGCTGAATCATCAACACTCACGCGGCTTGTACCTTCAGCTGACGAACCAACTCCTGCTGTTGCTGTATGTGCTGCAGATTTCCCCTCTTCTGTTGCTGCTGTAGTTGTTGCTGTTGCTGTTGCTGCCGAGGCTGTTGTGGTTGTTGTTGAAGCAGCTGCACTCCTTGCAGACGTCACAGACCCTGCCCCAGCATCACTGGCAGAACTTGCCACACCGCTTCCGTGAGGAGACTTTGACGACTGCTCAGACGTTCTCTCGGTACCAGAGGAAGTTTCCGAGAAATCTGTCGAGGACACTGTATCAGAAACATCTTTTTCACCACTCTTGTCATCACTTTTGCCGCTGTTTAAACTCTCCTCCGCTTTTTCAGCAACGCACAATTTCTCCTTCCCAATCTCTTTCCCAGAGACCGAGCTCGTCAAGTCTTCTTTATCACCTGCAGATACCAAACTTTTTTCTCTCATACCCTTTTCGTCAGAATGAACCTTTTCATTTTCAGAAACGGAAGAGTTCTTCATAGAAGTCTTTTGCGGAGTTATCACCCTGGCACCATTTTCTCCGTCTGGCTTGGACTTTTCAACGCTCACGTCGGAGCCGTCTTTCAACAGTTCCTCTTCATCACTCTCCACCTGCCCTCCTCTCTTCCCTCCCTCCCCACCATCTCGTCCCTCTTCTTCCTCATCATCCGCTGTCAACAGAAGTACGTCATCATCCTCCTCCTCCTCCTCCTCATCATCGCAATCCTCGTTCTGTACCCTCTCTATGCCCAGCTTCGCCCGGCACGTTTCTATCACTTTCTGCAAACTCTCTTTATACACAGACCCTGGACTCACAGTCACCAAAGGAGATTTTGATGATGATGGTGGTGGTGACAACGTGATGGTGCTGTTGTTGTTGTTGCTAGGAGATACAGACAGCGCTGTTGAAACAGCAGGGAGCTGCGGAGATTCAGCTGAAATGTCGCCCTCGGTGTTCGCACTTGATGAAGAAGACGACAAATTTCCCTTTTCTATCACACTTCTGTTACTTTCTCCCCCACGTTCTGATGTGGACTTTTGCCCCGCATGTTCACTGTTTGACTCCTCGCCACCTTCCTTTGCTGCGTGGCCGGCATTTTGATCTGTTCTCTCGGCAAGACTCGGCTGTGACCTTGACCCTTCTGTTCCCTCCTCAGTCGCTGTCGTCCCACCGCGACCACCATTCTTCTCCTCCCCACCTCCCCCCAACACCCGCCTCCCAGCATCCCCATGCTGCGTCGTGGCACAAAGTGTCAAATACGACACACCCGTACGAGGCACAGAGAGTTCTTTCCCCTTCCCTTTCGACTCCCCGATTCCACCTGCTGCGGCTCTCTCCGTCTCGTCAGATCTATCCGTAGCACAGGAAGTATGAGGTAAATTTCCTCCCTTGTTTCCACAGCCGCTACTGCTAGATTCTTTATCGTCGTCGTTATTGCTCTTACTGTTGTTACTGTGGCTCTTACTGTTGTTACTGTGGCTCTTACTGGTGCTGCTACTATGCAACAGTCCATCACCGTCACCTTTACTCAGACTTTTCTCACCGTTGGAACGGACCAAGGCACCACCGACATCACTTCCTTCTCTCCTAATGACACTACTACTACCACTACTACTATCCTCGGGTTCCGACGTTAATTCAGAGTTGTCCCCATCTTTAGCACACGTAGTTTTGTCACTGCTACTGCCTTCCTCACTTCCTCGACTCTCCACTCGCGGTTCTCTTCCATCATTCTCGTCTAAACTCTCTCTCGTCTGAGTGCTCTCCCCTGACCCCCCCTCGGCACTACCATGGCTCATTCCAGCCGTTTGACCACGGGCAGCTGTACCGGAACTTTCTGTACTTGATGTGGTTGCGGTAGAAAGTCCCTGCGATGAGGTTGTCGAAGCGGTTGGTGACGCGTTGATCTTGTCTTCAATCCGTTTGAGCAGCTGCAGATCTGTTAGAGAATATCTGTTTTTTAGTAAGAGTTTTACTGCACTTGCAACATAAATAAGTCGTATAAATGCTGAAGATTAGAGACGTTGCAAGAGAAAGAGTAACAAACACAAAAAACAAGGAGGCGAGATAAGGATGATAGATGTTTGATAGGAAAGAAGGAGCAGACCACACCAGAGCACCCACCAACCACCAATAGAAAAAACCCGAAACAAACCCCCCCCCCCCCCCCCCCAAGAAGGAACAAACCACACCAGAGCACCTGTCAACTACCCAACAATAAATGTGAGGTGAAGATTCACATATTGTTTGAGTAAAGAGAAGTATACAGACATAGGACGGTTTTATTTGGTGCTAGGAAAAGATAAAAGACTGATACTGACTGTTTAAGAGAGGCACATCTACTACAATATTGTCTATTTGGTGAAGCAACATAGAAAGAGAGAGGGGAAGAAGGGGGGGGGGGGAGAGAGAGAGAGAGAGAGAGAGAGAGAGAGAGAGAGAGGGAGAGGGAGAGGGAGAGGGAGAGGGAGAGGGAGAGGGAGAGAGAGAGAGAGAGAGAGAGAGAGAGAGAGAGAGAGAGAGAGAGAGAGAGAGGGGGCAGAAGGGAGAGAGAGAGACAGAAAAAAAATGAGGCAACAGCCCAACTCATTCACAAACTAATTAAAAATACAACTGAAACCCACAAGTTTGGCTGATAGCGTTATTACAATAAGTTCTCCCGCAAACACACCGCACGCGCGCAGGCACACACACACACACAAACACACACACACACAAACGCACGCACTCACCTGGCAGATTGGGCTTGGGTACTCTCCCCTGCTTTGAGGCCAGGTCAGTCAGTGGCTCCATCTGTTGCTGCGACAAAAGGAACACGCCCTTCTGCATCGGCTTCAGGTAAATCACCTGGGGAATGATGATGGCACGCCAAAAGGTCAGTCAGTTTGTTTTAGTAGAGGCTTTACGGCGCTCGCAACTGCATAAGGTCATGTGAGCACCAAAGGGTGGATGTCAACAGAGAAGTCCTTACAGGTAATCGGGCTTACTCTGCTCACATCTCTAGCTTCAACAGCACAAGGTCTGCTTCAACTATCAAGGCACCGTGGAAATAGATTAGAGGTATTACTACAAAGTAACAATAAAACAGTCAATCTGACAATGTTTTTTTGAGCGTCAGAAAAAGTTTTATGGTATGGTACTTGCAATCGAAATTGTAAGCTTATTCGGATGTGTTATCAAGATATTCAAAGAGTTGCATTAAAAAAAAACTTGACATGTTGTGAAACCCCTAAATATTTGAATGGCAAATTTCTCCAAACTAGGTTATGCTGAGCAGATAGAACTTTGTAACGCTGGGGTAGCAATCTGTCTGATGGGACTGATGTATCTCACTAGCCCGGGTTGGCCCTCACAGGCAGCTTTACTAAGAGTTTTACGGCACTTGTAACACAATAAGGTCATATAAATGCCAAGATTCAAGAGAGTAGCAAACACAAAAATGAAGGAGGGGAGATAAAGACAATCGATGTTTGATAGGAAAGAAGAAGCAAACCACACCAGAGCACCCGCCAACCACCCACAAAAAGAGTTTTTAACTGGCAAATTTCTCCAAACTAGGTACTGAGCAGTCAGACAGAACTTTGTGATGAAATTCTGGGGAAGCGTCGTCACCTGTCTCTGCTGCGAGCCAGAGGTGGTTGAGGATGAGCTGGTGGCGGTCGTCGTCGTCATTGTGGCGGTGGCCGTCGCCGACGCTGTTGTTGCTGTTGTGGTGTTTGTGGGTGGGTTGGCCTTCCGAGAGCTGAGCGTGCTATATTTAGACTTGACGGCCATGGCCGTTTTGCTGGCCGCTGACTGGCGTTCTGTGGACGGACCCTCACCCACCTGTTGTGAGGTTTTAAAAAATAAAGGGGAGGGGTGGTGGTGTATTAACTCAGGTGCTTCTAGGAATTGCAAATGTACTGTTAATATTTTGTTTTGCAAGTAAATGTTTTATGGCATTTGCAACACAATAAGGTCACATTAGAGCCGAAGATTAGAGGTATTACAAGAGAGTAACAAACACAAAAAAGGAAGGAGGAGAGATCAGGATGACAGATGTTTGATGGGAAAGAAGGAGCACCTCACCACTATAATTTATGTCTAGGAGAAAGCAAGACTGACGGACATAATATGAGAAAAATAAAAACCCAAAGAAGTAGATCTACAGACAATCACCTTTTCAAATGACCACTTCCCATTTCTCACCCTGCTTGTGATTTTTGTTTGAGTAAAGAGAAACACATCGACACAATAATGGGGCTTCAGTAAGAGGCTAACCCAGGATAGAAAAATGTGGAAGGGGTTTGTACATGGCCTATACCCTGGTGGTGCAGGGTGAGAAAGGCAATGACGACGATGACTGGTTGTACCCATACCTGTTTCGTTTTCTCGCCATCCTTCGAGGTTCTACTGGCCGGGTCTCCCCCCAGAATTTTTTTCACCGATGTGAAGCAGCTGCTGGTGAAGGGAACCCGCAGCCTGGCGTACTTGAAACTGCCAAACTTTTCTCTGAAACAAGACAGGAAGACAACAACAGGTTGGCCATAAAAAAAAAAATTCGTTAGGGTTTTACAGTATTTGTTTTAGCCTTAGTAAGAGTTTTACAGAATTTGCAACACAATAAGGTCATATAAGTGCTGAAGATTAGAGGTGTAACATCGACACAAATTAAATCATTTAGGAGGTGGGCTTCGCCCCCGTCTGTCAAAACCAACCTAGGCCACGATACCCAATAAAAGTTCTCATCACTCGTGAATCCAACACGCCTAATATGAGTTGCCCACTGGCACGATCTGTTCGGTTCGGTTTGGTAGGCGGGGCTAACCAGATTGAGGGCTCAAAGCAACCATCGTGGCACAAACCGATCGCCTGACCTGCAGCCTCACTTAAAAACAAACGCGTTTGTATTCAGGCCGCGAATGGGGAATCAGTTTGTATTAGAGAACTGATCCCCAAATGGGCACTTGGTATAACCGTGACACCACAGACGTCTGTGCTCACCTGAGATTTTCCACATGAACTTTGACCTCCCTCATGGCCTCCTCATAGCCGCCCCGACCTTTCTTGACGGCCACTGGACTATCTGACGACAGCATGTAGCACGCTGAGATAGGGACCCATGACCTGGAGAGGAGGGACAGGGAAATGTTGGAAAAGTTTTATACCCCAATCAACACAATTTAGTTCATATTATATGTGAAGCTTGTTGACAAAATGAGTTACTTCTCAGATTCTTGCCCTATGGAAATAGATACATCACGCTTATTGGTGAAGTTTGTACAATTTGTAAGTATGAAATAACAAAAAGGATGTCATACTTAAAGAATAGGGCATCAATAGAAAATCGACAAATTTGACCCTAGTGTTGATTTTTTGGCCAATATTTCCATTTGTGGATTGCGAGAAGTATCTCCTTTTGTCCACACGCCTCACAAACAAATCGGCATTGTAGGAGATTGTCATAAGCAAACAATGGGACCCAAGACCTGGAGAGGAGGGACAGGGAAATGCTTGAAGTTTTCTACCTCATTCAACACAATTTAGGCCATATTAGAATCGGCCTTTGTAGGTGATTGTCATAAGCACACAATGGAACCCAAGACCTGGAGAGGAGAAAAGGATATGTTGGAAAAGTTTTACACCTAAATCAACACAATTTAGGTCATATTATAAATAAATTGGCCTTTGTAGGTGATTGTCATAAGCACACAATGGAACCCAAGACCTGGAGAGGAGAAAGGGAAAAGTTGGACAAAGTTTTATACCACAACCAACACAATTTAGGTCATAGAGGTCTTCTATTAAAAAAAAAAAAATAGTAGAGGGTTTTACGGCGCTCGCAACTGTATAAGGTCATATGAGTGCCAATAGAGGTCTTCATAGGTGTTGGTCGAAGGCAAGTACAAAGAATGTTGAACAAATTGGCAGTCGTTGATAATCAGGAATGTGAGCTGGGAATGATTAACTCTTCTTAGTTTAGTTTTAGTAATAGTTTTACGGCACTTGCAACACAATAAGGTCATATACCTGCCGAAGATTAGAGGTGTTACAAGAGAGTAACAAACACAAAAAAGTAGGAGGGGAGATAGAGACGATAGATTTTTTATAGGAAAGAAGGAGCAAACCACACCAGAGCACCTGCTAACCACCCACTGATTAACTCTTCCACAGCAGTAGGTAAGAGAGGGAGATGGTAAGAAGCAGGCCCCCACAACATGATCGCAGGGAGAGAGAGAAGGGGATAGAGATGAAAGAAAAAGTATTTCCTCGCCAATCAACGCAACGACGACCTGAACAGCAAGCATCCGTCACACAATGACAGGAAGGGCAGAACTCTCACCTGTCATGGGCACCAAAGAACCGGACGTCCACTTGACCGTTCATTACCCGCAGAGCCTAAGTAGAAAAAAAAAATGACTCCCATTTTATTCTAAAACAAATACTAACAAAAATAATAAATGATAAATAGCATTTGTATAGCGTAAATTCCCACTCAACAGCAAGCTCTATGCACTTTACAATCTATATTATTATTACCCCAGCAGACCTGATGGCATTCTGAAACAATCTAAACTTCATGGGAAGCATACAGTGCAAGCTGCCATTTTACAAGCTCTAAAAAACAAATATACGTACAAGATCTTTCGCTGTCTATGGACGGGTACCAATTCCCACCTGAGTGAAGTGAGGAAAATTCATGCAAAGTGCATTTCCCAAGGCCTGAGCCTTGAACCCTCACCCCCCCTACCCCCCCGAACCCGCAATCTCACCATTATGAGTTCCACATAAACAACACAAATCTTATCGCAAACTTATGTTATCCAGTTATGAGTTAGCTAAACTTTATACAAACATCAAACAGAATTCATCAACCTTTACATGGGTTTCAAACCTCTGCTCTGTCAAGCAAGGCGAGTGCTACTTAAAAGAGTACCCTCAATCAAGACACACTTAGCATTGCTCAAAATCAGAATGCTGTGTTGCAGCGATAAGAAATAACAGGTTTATGGAAATATTTGTTTTTAGATGAAAACTATATTCTGTAAATCATCAACTTTTATTAATGTTGAAAAGTTTTGATCTACAGATGCCACAACACCTATTTTGCAACGAGGATAAAAAAAAAAGCATCCCCTTTCTTTATTTCTCTAACTGTATCTTCCATCCCTGCCAAGATCATCTGATTACAAAAAATCCCCAGTTATAACACAGAATATAAACGCTAGGAAAATTTTCCTCATGTATAATTCTAACATGACGTTAAGCTTACCTTTGCCGGCCAAAATGGATAACCTTTGAGTTTGGCCCACACAAGGGGATGAGGGGTTCTCTGAAACGAGAAAAGAAAAATAAATTAAGAATAATGAAACATTTGAAATGTGACAGGACGTCTTTTTATAAAAAGCTGACCTGAAATCTTCAACCATTTCTATAAGCTGACCTGAAATCTTCAACCATTTCTATAAATTATCTCAAATCTTCAACCATTTTTATAAGTTGATCTCAAATCTTCAACAATTTCTATCAGTTGATCTCAACTCGTCAACCAATTCTCCAAGTCTACCTCAAATCTTCAAGTGTTTCTGAGATTTGTTTGTTTGAGTAGAAAGAAGCACATCAACACACTGATGGCTACACAGTGTGCAGAAAAAGCAAGATAGACAGAACTACAGAGGGAAAGAAAACAGAAAAGAAGCACAACCTAGTATGAACGGAGAAAGCAAAGTTTACAGGGTCAGTAAAAAATGTACAGGGTAAGAAAATGAGGAAATCATAGCGTGTACAGGGGAAGTAAAGTATGCACAGGGAAAGGAAAGTATGTACATGGAAAGGAAAGTAGGAAATCTTAGTATGTACAGGGAAAATAAAGTAGGAAAGTAAAGTATGCACAGGAAAAGGAAAGTGGGGAATCTTAGAATGTACAGGGAAAGTGAAGTATGTGCAGGGTAAGTAAAGTACTACATGGAAAGCAAAGTATATAGTCAGTATAAAGTAGGAAATATTAGTATGTACAGGGAAAGCAAAGTCTGTACACAGTAAGTAAAGCAGGAAATCTTAGTATGTACATGGACAAAAAAGTATGAACAGGGTAAGTAAAGTAGGTAATCATAGTATGTACAGGGTAAGGAAAGTAGGAAAGTAAAGTATGTGCAGGGAAAGCAAAGTATACTCAGTATAAAGTAGGAAATCTTAGTGTGTACAGGGAAAGCAAAGTATATACTCAGTATAAAGTAGGAAATACCCGTATAAGTATGTACAGGGAAAGCAAAGTCTGTACACAGTCAGTAAAGCAGGAAATCTTAGTATGTACAGGGAAAGCAAAGTCTGTACACAGTAAGTAAAGTAGCAAATCTTAGTATGTACATGGTAAGTAAAATATGTACACAGTAAGTAAAGTAGCAAATCTTAGTATGTACATGGACAAAAAAGTATGTACAGGGTAAGGAAAGTATACTCAGTATAAAGTAGGAAATACCCGTATAAGTATGTACAGGGAAAGCAAAGTATACTCAGTATAAAGTAGGAAATACCCGTATAAGTATGTACAGGGAAAGCAAAGTCTGTACACAGTCAGTAAAGCAGGAAATCTTAGTATGTACATGGACAAAAAAGTATGAACAGGGTAAGTAAAGTAGGTAATCATAGTATGTACAGGGTAAGGAAAGTAGGAAAGTAAAGTATGTGCAGGGAAAGCAAAGTATACTCAGTATAAAGTAGGAAATCTTAGTGTGTATAGGGAAAGCAAATATATACTCAGTATAAAGTAGGAAATACCTGTATTAGTGTGTACAGGGAAAGCAAAGTATATACTCAGTATAAAGTAGGAAATACCTGTATTAGTGTGTACAGGGAAAGCAAAGTCTGTACACAGTCAGTAAAGCAGGAAATCTTAGTATGTACATGGTAAGTAAAATATGTACACAGTAAGTAAAGTAGCAAATCTTAGTATGTACATGGACAAAAAAGTATGTACAGGGTAAGGAAAGTATACTCAGTATAAAGTAGGAAATACCCGTATAAGTATGTACAGGGAAAGCAAAGTATACTCAGTATAAAGTAGGAAATACCCGTATAAGTATGTACAGGGAAAGCAAAGTATACTCAGTATAAAGTAGGAAATACCCGTATAAGTATGTACAGGGAAAGCAAAGTATACTCAGTATAAAGTAGGAAATACCCGTATAAGTATGTACAGGGAAAGCAAAGTATACTCAGTATAAAGTAGGAAATACCCGTATAAGTATGTACAGGGAAAGCAAAGTATACTCAGTATAAAGTAGGAAATACCCGTATAAGTATGTACAGGGAAAGCAAAGTATACTCAGTATAAAGTAGGAAATACCCGTATAAGTATGTACAGGGAAAGCAAAGTATACTCAGTATAAAGTAGGAAATACCCGTATAAGTACGTACAGGGAAAGCAAAGTATACTCAGTATAAAGTAGGAAATACCCGTATAAGTACGTACAGGGAAAGCAAAGTATACTCAGTATAAAGTAGGAAATACCCGTATAAGTACGTACAGGGAAAGCAAAGTATACTCAGTATAAAGTAGGAAATACCCGTATAAGTACGTACAGGGAAAGCAAAGTATACTCAGTATAAAGTAGGAAATACCCGTATAAGTACGTACAGGGAAAGCAAAGTATACTCAGTATAAAGTAGGAAATACCCGTATAAGTACGTACAGGGAAAGCAAAGTATACTCAGTATAAAGTAGGAAATACCCGTATAAGTATGTACAGGGAAAGCAAAGTATACTCAGTATAAAGTAGGAAATACCCGTATAAGTATGTACAGGGAAAGCAAAGTATACTCAGTATAAAGTAGGAAATACCCGTATAAGTATGTACAGGGAACGCAAAGTATACTCAGTATAAAGTAGGAAATACCCGTATAAGTATGTACAGGGAACGCAAAGTATACTCAGTATAAAGTAGGAAATACCCGTATAAGTATGTACAGGGAAAGTAAAGTATATACTCAGTATAAAATAGAAAATATTAGTAAGTACATACTCAGCATAAAATAGAAAATATTAGAATGTACAGGGAAAGCAAAGTCTTGTACTCACACAGGGCTCGCAGAACCAATTGCTGCTGCTCTGGACACAAGAGCTCCAGTAACAATCTGGGCACACCTCGATCTCGCTCATCTGAAGCAGAAAAGAGTATTTTTCCGTTTCGTACGAGTTTTATGGCACTTGGAACACAATGAGGCCACATCATAAGTGTCGAAGATGATAGGTGTTACAAGAGAGTAACAAACACAAAAAGGAGGAGGAGAGATAAGGACAATAGATGTTCGGTAGGAAAGTAGGAGAAAGCTACACCACAAAAACCTGCCAACCACCCACATTTGGTGAAAGTGCCAACAATTTGTCACCTCAGAACTATGTTGTCTAAAGTGTACTAAGTAAAGAGGCACTTTGGACAAAATAGTTCTGCTTTGTTTTAGTAGAGGTTTTGCGGCGCTCGCAACTGCATAAGGTCATATGAGCGCCAGGAGATTAGAGGTGTTACAAGAGAGTAACAAACAGAAGGAGGGGGAGATAAGGACGACAGATGTTTGATAGGAAAGAAGAAACAAACCACACCGGAGCACCCGCCAACCACCCACCAAAATAGTTCTGAAGCGACGAGTTAAAGGTCTTACAAGAGAGTAACATACACTACAAGGAGGAGGAGAGATAAGGACGACAAAAAAGGAAAAAAGGAGTAACCCGCAACAGAGCACCCATCAAACACCCTCTACTGAAGAATAACATTCAAAGACAAAAAAGGAACAAACCACACCATACCACCCATGATTAGTTAGTTTAGTAGAGGTTTTACGGTGCTCACAACGGCATAAGGTCATATGAGCACGAGAAGATTAGAGGTGTTACAAGAGAGTAACAAACATAAAAAAGAAGAATGGGAGAAAAAGGATGATAGATGTTTGGAAGACAAATAAAGGAACAAACCACCCCATACCACCCATGATTAGTTAGTTTAGTAGAGGTTTTACGGTGCTCACAACGGCATAAGGTCATATGAGCACGAGAAGATTAGAGGTGTTTCAAGAGAGTAACAAACATAAAAAAGAAGAATGGGAGAAAAAGGATGATAGAGGTTTGGAAGACAAATAAAGGAACAAACCACCCCATACCACCCACCCGTGAGATAAAGATATATGAAAACAAACAAACCAATGTCTTGTCACTACCCACCTCGTGTTTGCAGACTTTCAGCAATGCTCTTGCTGCCAGTGTGATCTTGCTTTGTGCTGGAAAATATATATATTTTTTTTAAAGTTCTTTAAAACACATGTTACAAAGAGTATCACATTTTGTATTAGTCAAGAGTTTTATGGCACTTGCAACACGATGAGGTCATATACAAGTGCCGAAGATTAGAGGTGTTACAAGTGAGAAACAAACATAAAAAAAGGAGGAGAGATAAGGACTAAAAATGTTTGATAGGTAAGATCAAAGGAGCAAACCACACCAGAGCACCTGTCAACCACCAACGAAAATTGTATGTGTTACAAGTGAGTAACAAACGTAAAAAAAAAAAGAAAAAAGAAAGAGGAGAGATAAGGACTAAAAATGTTTGATAGGTAAGATCAAAGGAGCAAACCACACTAGAGCCCCCCCCCCCCCCCCAACAACCATCCATAGAAAACAGATAAAATGAGCCGTCTGATAAATTTCATCAACATTTCATTGACTGGAGCTATGCATCATCTTTTGTTCTGTTGTTCTATGCAAACTCCTGTATCGTTGTTGATAGATGTGAATAAATTTCTCTCGATGTGTGTGCTGTTCCCCTAAGGAGACCCCCGACAAGCATCATCAGACAGGCTTTCACGTGGAATCTTCACAAGGAAAACGTAAGAAAGGAAGAGCAAAGATGACATGGAGCCGAGCGGTACAAGCGGAAATGGAAAAGGCGGAGGCACCTCATGGAAACCCAGCTAGAAAAGGATGCACAGGACAGGCTTTGCTGGAGAAATGTTGTTGATGGCCTATGCTCCACTGCGAGTTAAAAAGGGCAAGTGAGAGAGAGAGAGAGAGAGAGAGAGAGAGAGAGAGAGAGAGAGAGAGAGAGAGAGAGAGAGAGAAAGAGAGGGAGAGGGAGAGAGAGAGAGAGAGAGAGAGAGAGAGAGAGAGAGAGAGAGTGCTGTTTGAGATTACCTCCGTTGTAGACGTAAGAGTTGTGGTAGATCCATTTGGTGTCTGCCATCAACGCCTCTGTACAGCCATACACTTTTTTCCGGATGTTCTGAAAAGCAAAAACAAAAAAGAGCCTTGAACAACTAGCAGCAGCAGTCTTTTTTTTTCTTTTTAAATCAGGGTTCATACCGAGCATGAGATTTTTTTCCCCCCACGACTTTTCGAGACCAGATTTCTTTTTTCTTTCGAAGACAAATGGCGTGTCATTTTGGAAGGAAATTTTTCGTTCAGCACGCATAAAATAAATACATAATGGTCCACTTCAGAATGCGTAAAGTCGAGGCCTTCTAAACTTCCAGGAAACATTTTTACAATAGATCTAGTTAACATTTTATTTGTTTTTCCAAGAATTTTGCCAATTTCCTAAAATTCCAAGAGTTTTCCATGTCTCAGAAAATAAAAACAAAATTCCAAGAAGTTTCCAGTTTTCCAAGACTCGTACGAACCCTGTTTAATGCAGGTATTTGAATGCAACCATTGCCACGATTCAGATCCTTGTCCTGCCCATCAATGCAAAACCTGGCTAAGAGCACACACACTCACACACACACACACACACACAGTCACAAACACAGTCACAAACACGCAAATACAGTCACACACACACATACAGTCACACACAGACACACACACAAACCCGTACCTTCTCCAGAATAGACAAACTCATGGGGTGGAAGACAAAGTCTGAGTACTGCGGGAACTGAGAGACACCCACACACAGTCACACACACACACACATACACAAACCCCTACCTTCTCCAGCATAGACAAGCTCATGGGGTGAAAGACAAAGTCTGAGTACTGCGGGAACTGACACACACACACAATCACACACACACACAGTCACACACACACATAGTCACATACACACATACACAGTCACACACACACACATACACAGTCACACACACAGTCACACACACACAGTCACACATACACACACACAGTCACACACACAGTCACACACACAGTCACACACACATAAACCCCTACCTTCTCCAGCATAGATAAGCTCATAGGGTGGAAGACAAAGTCTGAGTATTGCGGGAACTGACACACACACACACTCACACACAGTCACACACACATAAACCCCTACCTTCTCCAGCATAGATAAGCTCATAGGGTGGAAGACAAAGTCTGAGTATTGCGGGAACTGACACACACACACACTCACACACACATAAACCCCTACCTTCTCCAGCATAGATAAGCTCATAGGGTGGAAGACAAAGTCTGAGTATTGCGGGAACTGACACACACACACACTCACACACAGTCACACACAGTCACACACACATAAACCCCTACCTTCTCCAGCATAGATAAGCTCATAGGGTGGAAGACAAAGTCTGAGTACTGCGGGAACTGAGAAGGGTCCACCAGATGCTCAAAGGTCTCCGTCTGGCGAGGAAAAGAGACGCACTTGGTTTGAATTTGATGTCTGACCAAGATATTCTTTTAATATATATATATATATTTATTTGGATAATACTTTATTATCCCAGAGGGAAATTTTTCTTGGCTGTCTTCTTCTTCTATCCTGCGGTTGGGGCAACCGTGGGGGCACCACTGCACCAGACAACCAGCTCTTGCCATTTCTCTCTGTCCTCTGCTTTCCTCAGATTGTCACATATCGTCTTCCCTGTCCACTCTCGGCTGTACAGGGCCGTAAAAACACATGCAGGTATACATAGAAATTAAATCATATGTGAGGTGTGCTGACAAAATTAGTTACTTCTCGCTATCCAAGAATGGAGATATCGGCCAAAAATCGACACTGGGGTCAGATTTATAGATTTCTAATTGATGATATTTTGTTTGAGTCTACCGTGTCTTTCATTATTCCATATTTGCAAATTGTACAAACCCCACCTATAAAGTCGATGTATTAATTTCCATCTAGGCTAAAATCGGAGAAGCAACTCATTTTGTCAGCACACCTCACATATATTACTCTCATGAAAATTCAAAATGAAAAGAAAAGTAAAGCTGACAATAATGCACATATCACATCAGATGCATCATTTGACCACAAGCAGGAATTTATCACAAGACCTTTAGAGTTATATAGATGCATACTCAAAAAAGTAATACACATTGAGGTTTACTCTGACAGTAACCTTATACTAGATGGTAAGAAATTCCATTTGCATCTTTCTTTCTTTGTTCCTAGTGGTGCGCATCTGCCGCTGCGTGATCTTACAACTTGTGCGGAAAGGAGGTGAGATGGGTCGCTTACAATATTGTTTATCTTTTTTATACTTGTGATCATATACATTTCATAAATTCTAGTAAAATCATAACAAGAGATCTTGCTGGTTTTCTTAAAGGTTCTGTCAATTGTTTTCTTTTCATTTCACCCTACAGCTTCGAGCCCAGAAGTTGGGTTCTTTTTTCTCGTTTTAGTAAGAGTTTTACAGCACTTGCCACACAATAAGGTCATATAAGTGCTGAAGATTAGAGATGTTACAAGAGAGTAACAAACACAAAATAAAAGGAGGGGAGATAAGGACGATGATAGGAAAGAAGGAGCAAACCACACCAGAGCACCCGCCAACCACTCACAGAAGTCGGCTGCTATTGCTGAGAGTATAGAGGAGCATATAAACACAATAGCAATCACTGAGTCGTTGGAAATAGCAAGACAAACAAACAGACAGTAAGAACAGAAGGAAAGAAAAGAAGTCTTCTTCCTCTTCTTCTCCTCCTCGTTCATCTCTAACTAGCCATCCCAGACTCTAGTACGAAGGCTGCTGTTTGCTGCAGACCCTCCACGCTCCTGTACAGCTTTGGGTCTGCCTGCTGAGGGTTGGGTCAATATTTTCTTCTGAGATAAAAGTGGTAAGACCTACCAGTGGCACCCTCCAACTGGACCAATATTTCCTGTTAGTTTTAGCAAGAGTTTTACAGCACTTGCAACACAATAAGGTCATATAAGTGCCGAAAATTAGAGGTGCTACAAGGAAGTAACAAACACAAAAAAGGAGGAGAGATCAGGACGACAGGTGTTTGATAGGAAAGTAGAAGCAAACCACACCAGAGCACCTGCCAACCACCCACTAATATTTTCCTTACGAGAGAAAAGTGGTATGCCGTACCAGTGGCACCCTCCAACAGGGTTAATATGTCCTTCCAAGAGAAAAGTGGGGTAAGACCTACCAGTGGCACCCTCCAACCCCCCATGCGCCGACAAAAAGCTCTTACCCCAACGGCTCTCATCCGGTCCAGGGCGTACCTCATCAGAGTACACAAGACATCCACTGTGATCATCGACATGGCTTTGGAGCGGGTGTCCGTACACTCTGCCTGCATGATTTTCTGTTAAGGAAGAAAAAACCCCACAAAACATGTTTGTTTTATTTTTGTTTTGGTAGAGGTTTTACGGCGCTCACAACTGCATAAGATCATACTAGTGCCAGAAGAGTAGAGATGTTACAAGAGAGTAACAAACATAAAAAAGAAGGAGGGGAGACAAAGATGATAGATGTTTGCTAGGAAAGAAGAAGCAAACCACACCAGAGCACCCGCTAACCACCCACCAAAACATGTTGAGGTTAGTACAAATCCTGATGGCGCTCATATGAGCATATGTTGTTATGAGCGCCGTAAAACCTTACTAAAAAAACAAATTCTGAAAAATGCAAATACTACCCCAACGGTTATACCCCCATGCTGACTCCAGATGTTGAACACTAGATGACCAGGTCATTCAAACCAGGGGGCTATACTTTACTTTTACTGAACCCAATGTCCTGATTATAAGTTGCCGTTGTAATGTAAAGCACTCACAGCCTGTGCACTTTAATCGGGGTTGAACACTATATGAGATAAGATAAGATAAGAAGATAATACTTTATTGTCCCAGAGGGAAATATTTCTTGGCTGTACAGGACCGTAAAAACACATGAAGGGATGCATAGAAATTAAATTATATATTACTCTCATTAAAATTCAACATGAAAAGAACAGTAAAACTGACAATAATGTAGATATCACATTAGAAGCATCATTCGACCACATGCAGGAATTTATCACAAGGCCTTTGGAGGTGTATAGATAAATGCATATATTCAAAACAGTAATACACAATGATGTTTATTCTGTCAAACAGTAGGCTTATACTAGATGGTAAGTAACTTCGTTAGTATCTTTCTTTCATTCTTTGTTCTTTACTAATTTGTTTTCCTGTATTACCTCACACTCCGGGCAGACCCAGTCCTGTGGAACGTTGTCCATATTGAGGCATTTGGCGTGGAAGACGCGCGGGCACAGCTCACAGCAGATGACCAGGCCCTCCTTGTGGCACAACCAGCAGAAATAGTCGTTCTTGTTGTCCTGGGGGAAGAGAAGGGAGCGTAGTTTTAGTTTCAATAAGTGTTTTACACTGTTACCGCGATACCCAAAAGGGTATAAGCGGTGGATAAAAGTAAAGTTTTTCATTGTTTTCATTTAGTCTTAGTAAAAATTTTACAGCACTTGCAAAACAATAAGGTCTCATGTGCCTCACATTAAAGGTGTTACAAGAGAGTATAAAGGAATACTAGCAGCTCACCTCCCCACTGCCATTATTTCGTCCAATTTTTTTCCGTTTGGGAGGCACGCTTGGCCCGTCAGAGCTGCTGGGAGCGTCCTTCTTCTCCTCCATCCGTCGTTTCCTCAAAGACGGTAAAGACGCTGACGGGTGATCTGCGTAAACAAAGTGATAAGCATTGACTTTTTAAGTTTTTGTTAGAGTTTTACGGCACTTGCAACACAAAGAGGTCACATAACTGCCGAAGAATATATTACGTGTTACAAGAGAGTAACATACACAAAAAAGGAGGGGAGATAAGGACGACAGATGTTTGATAGGAAAGAAAAAGCAAACCACACCAGAGCACCCGCCAACCGCCCATCAGCAGTGACGGTGATGACGACCGGCCGGATCATGTAAGTGCCAAGATTAGAAGTGTTACAAGAGAGTAACAAACACAAAAAAGGAGGACTTCCATGCAGAAAAAACATCCCAAATGGATTCCTCAAACAATTTACATTGATACCAGAAAATTTTCTGATGTCTTTCCCGTGGAAAGCCTCAAGGAGATGGGAAGATTGAGAGAATTAAGACAGGAACCGCTAACCCTCTGTAATTTATGAAGCTTTCTAAAAACCAATTTTAGTTTTTGTCAGAGTTTTAGGGCACTTGCAACACAGTCAGGTCATATAAGTGCTGATGATTAGATGTGTTGCAAGAGAGTAATAAACACAAAAATGAAGGAGGAGAGATTAAGACCGACAGAGGTTTGATAGGAAAGAAGGAGCATGCCGATATACACAAAGACATAATTACCGTACAGAAAAGGAGGAAAAAAAAAAAAAAGGCAGACACATAAATAAATAACTAAATGGCGCATCAGAAAAAATGCCGCCCACCTTTGTGTTGTTTTTTCACAGAGCTGCCAGCATCTCCCGCTGGAGGGGTCGGGACAGAGGGGGAACTTGGCCTCTCTTTGCCGACCTCACTGGCAGACAAGGTGGAAGTTCCTGTCATGACTAGTGTGCCTGTTGAGAGGCGAGTTCGAATCCCCTTCTTGCTCTCTGTAAAATAGAGTAAGTAAGTAAGTTTGTTCAGTGTTTAAGGCCATTGGATCATTTGTTAAATAAAGTTGCTATAATAATGAAAAAGTACAGGTCATGCACATATTTCTTATCCTGGGTCAAACGCTGCATATTTGTGCCACTGGTAAAAATGTCCTTTGATGGACAAAATATGGACAATAGAAAATAAAGAGACATTAATCATCAGTTTCATGAGAGTCACACCTCTGTATAATAATCGGTGATGAAAGTAAATTTTTTTTAAAAAGAGGATAATTTCTTCCCTCTCTCGACACCACAGAAAACTATTGTTAGTCTTAGGTTCAGTAAGAGTTTTAGGGCACCTGCATTATACAACAAGGTCATATAACTGCTGAAGATTAAAGGCACCGCAAGAGAGTAACAAACATAAAAATAAAGGAGAAGAGATAAGGGCGACAGATGCTTGATAGGAAAGAAGGAGCAAACGACATCAGAGCACCCGCCAACCACCCATGTTTCTTCTTCTTTTTTTTTTTCGATAGCAAAACTAAATAACTCAAGTAGAACAAGATTATGATAACATTCATCATAATTCTTCCTTTTCTCTGAAGTACGGTACTTGCATCTTGACTGCATAAAAGAAGATAAGAGGTACTTTCAGAGAGCTCTCCTACCTTCTTCTGCTGATCTTGCTTTCTTTTTTGCAACCTCCTCATCTGAAAAAAGATAATGATTTATCACAGAGATGAATGACAGGGCATGGTTTGAGCCATCACTCATTTATAACACACATCTTATTATTATTATCATCATCTTCCTGACAAATCTTTTTACAGCCCAGAGCGAGGTGGAACAGTCACACTGTATTTTGGTTGGAAAGCATATATATATATATATGCAACAGACATTTCCGATATGCAGTCAAGGTCATCTTTGCCAGCGAAGGATGAACATCACTGAAGGTACACATGACATACAAAGCTGAAAAAGAAAGGGTTGTAGTAGTTGAAAATACCTTCTTTCCCATGAGCTTGTCGTGAGGGCAGAGATCTTCGGTGCATTTTGTTGGGAGGATATCCCACTGAATAAATGCTGAGGAAAGAAAAAGAATTTTAGTATTTCTTTTTTAGCTTCAGAATCACTAAAGAACACCAAAAACTTCATTAACATACTGATTTTTTCAAAACACAGTTTTTAAAGAACAACATCACATGAGCATTATTGAAATACTACCCGACTTCTACTCGCGGGCAGTATTAAATACAGACGTAAATTATTTTTGGCAACCTTTGAGACACGTGGGCCCGTGAACCGTTTATGCTCTGTTGAAAGGGGCATTAAATAAACCCATACACACATTTTTTAAAGCTTAGGGACTGTTGGAGGACTGTAGTGAAGCTCATGCCTTGTGTTACCACAATCATTTGACGTTAAATAAAACTTCCTGCGATAGGTTCGTGAAAAAGAATGTTTGAGGGAAAGTCAGCGTACCTTATATATTTAATAATATTGATTTTCACTGTTTACTGTGCTCGAAATCAACTCAGAAGCTGGTGCATCTCCATTCTTTATCTTGAATTTGCACCACTGTGGCGGCTCCCTCTTGTACTCAATAGGCCAGATGCTGGAGGTCTACTTTGTAGTAAAGAATAGTTCCTCTCTTATCCACTTCAGTTTGCAAAGGAAGTTAAAAAAAGAAGTAGAACTGTGTGTGTGTGTGTGTGTGTGCGATTTTGTGTTATTTTTCAAAGCTATAATGATATAGACTAAAAATAGCTGACCATGGCATCTGATTCAGTGTGTAAGGTGAAGCAAATCAGGGCTAAAAAAGCTGCCCCCCCCCCATTTCTTTTTCATTAGACCGACAGAGAAAATAATAATTCTTCAGTCTGATAATGCTGATTATACACATTATTCTTGATAACAATATTAAAGCAGTAAGTTGATAATAATAATAATAATAGAGATAGCATATGTGTAGCACAAAATCCCGCTCAGCAGCAAGCTCTATGCACTTTACAGTCTATCATTATCAATGAATCTTAAGTCTTAAGCCAGTGGCATTGAAATGGATAGCTCTAGATCTAGCTAAATACATCTAGTTCCAGGTAAACCATTGAGAGCCCAATTCTATACATGGAAAGGTAAATGTAAATGACCAACTACAGGTAAAGAAATGAGCTAAGGACTGCTAAATCTAGGTCGATCTAGGCGATTTATTTTGAAATGTATAGAAAGATCATTAGTGATCGAGAGGACTAGACTCAGAGGGTGGGAGAGAAGTATTTATGGGAAGAAGAGACAGAAGGGGAAAATCTAATTTAGTCCTCACAGTAGTGAAACAAAAACGTTTGTAAAAATCTTATTTTCCACAGAAATATCACGAAAATTGGGCCGAAGGTTGGTGAGGGTGCTGGTGTGATTTGAGCCTTTAATTCTTTTTATTCAAACATCTATGGTCCTTATCTCTCCTCCATTCTTGTATTTGTTATTCTCTTGTAACACCAGTAATCTTTGGCACTTATATATATATGACCTTATTATTGTGTAACAAGTGCTGTAAAACTCTTTAAAAAACGAAACTAAATAAGAAAATTTGCAATATATATCATGAAAAATTGATGCGCCTGTTATCGAGGAGGCCATCACAATTGTGGCGTCATAAACGGGTAGACAGCACAAACCAGTCAAATGTCTCTTGCTTCACTAGTCTATTTTTTTATGCCCAAGAAGCATTTCAAAAGAATTGAAACAATATTATGTTACACAGCTTTAAATTAGAAAAATAAATCAACAAGTTATAATTTCATTTTCATAACAAGGTAAGACCTCGATATAGATTTCATTAAAGTCTCCCAAAGCCCACATAACATCTATAAGGAGCCTAGGCTACTTCACAAAGGAATCTGTTGAAAGAAGTCAATCATAAAGCCAAATCTTTCTCTGGTTAAAGTGCAAACATTTCAATAAAATGAAGTAACTATATATAATAAGTCTTGAATTGTGCATCCCATTTTCAATGATGAGTAAGGTCAATTTTCTTCGTTGCTTGGATTGATTTTTTGTTAACAAAAGTGCGGCTCGAAATACAGTCAAAACTTTCTAAAACAGTGCCCATTGTCAAAAAAAATAAATGATCATCTTAGATAGGTGGCCTTCTTACATCATGTCATTATCACGCTAAAAAAAAATATGAACGGGAGGAAATAGGGAATTAAAGTTACTGTTTGTACACATGTGACTATCTTATAAAGGTGCCGACCTGCAAATAGCTCCATGACCAAAAATGGAGTTTTACTAAAAATCTTCCCACTTTAAGAAATAGGATAGTTTGAAATAAAATATTGGAGTTTAAAACTCCAGTAGATTCAGGTTATGTAACAACCCTATCGAGGTAAAAAAAACAGGTTTAGCTGTCTATTGCAAAGACAGGCAAAAATAAAAATGTATCTTTCTTGTTTTTCACACTAAGTCACGCAAATATTGCAAAAATAAAACATGTATTTTCACATCATGTATGATATGTTGCACATACGACCTGAAAGAAACGTAATTTATGGAAAGTAAAAGTATTTTATGCGAATTTGATCAGGATTCTTTGACAGGCGAAAAAAATCGAAGCTCCGATTTTATTGGAGCACTTGGAAGGTCTTGAAGGTGGCCGTTAGAGCAGATATACAACTGGTGCTTTCCTCGTAGTCTAGCGATTGCCCAAATTGTTCACCGATCAAGATCTAAAAGTAGAAGCGCAACCAGTTTCATGCATATTTTACAAAAAAGTAATCCTGCCTTCTAGTGTAATAATTTAAGGAGCCTTTAATTTTAATTAAAACTAATAAAACCTAGGGGCCTAAAAAATAAAACTTATTTGGGAACTAACATCCCACAACTATTTCATATAGAACAGGTTACAACCCAGGAGCATGTGTGCTACCAACACAGTATTCTAATGGTCTCTATGAGAACAGAGCAAACAGCGAGCAATGTGTCTAATGCCTAGTGTGGGGATTCTCTGTTGTGTGCGCCTTCGACTATTTCTTGCATTCATACATACATTAATCTGAACTCTGATGCTTCTGTTCTGTTTAATAGGCCGTACTTAATAATATTCATGCATGTAACTATATATATAAGACAGTATGGCTCTAAATTTGCAGGAAACCCATACCTAAATTCTGCCTTGACTCCTTGCACTCCTACACCTTGATGCTGTGTAGCTGGCTTGGCATTCCGACATCAGCCTTGCTGTGTTTCGCTGTTTCACTTGTTTGGTGTGCTGTGTCAAGGCCCGCATCGCGGACTCGCGCAGCGGCTTCGCACCGTTCGCACGACACAAACCACGCCCCTTCATCTCCTTGGCCAATCAGGGGCTGACACTGCTTCTTGAATGAAATATAATTGGGCCTGAAATAAACAACCAACTCTCAATTATTGTGAAAAAGCTGAAATCATGATTATTTCCAAATACAAATGTGGTATAAAAAGTCTACAAGTCGTTGTTACCTCCCAATGACTTCTATACACATGGATGTGAGCCTTGATTGATTTTTCCAAGAAGTGGGCGAGTGGGTGGGTGCGTGTGCCCTTGTTGCCGGTATTCTAAAATCAAATGAGCATACGCGTGTATATTTCCATTAGGCCGGCCTAGAATATTATTCATCTTTACCTGTTCTTCCGCAAAATATGAAATTCACAAAGTCTTAGTTAAAATTTGTTGAAAAGCTATCAAGAAACTAACTTCACTATTGGAAAGATTTGAGAATACAAAGAAAAGAAAAAGAAATAAATTGCACACTGCAGCATTGAAACTGCAAAACATACAACGGATAGAACTAGCCTTCGCTGTTGGCGTCTCCTTTGATTCCACAATTGTCCACATCAGCGTGAGGAGAAAGTAGAGGAATCTAGCAGGATGGCACCCAGACGGACAAAAAGCACGAAAAATCCCCCAATTCTCAGCCATGAATTTTTCATTCAAAATCATGCTGACATTGTATCCTGTGTGGCAATGGTGTTCATCGTCGGTCTCATGTTTCAGGTAGTTGCTTTGCTTTTATATTCACTCAGGACTCGATCGAAAACATACTGTCCATTTCATGGAAGGATGCACACACTTCAACTAAAAAAGCCCCCTGGCCTGGCTCTAACAGTAATAGATCACTCCTTCATGTTACGAACACAGCTTTTGTTTTCAAAACAATATGACAATATACACTAAGGAATTTGCTATTTGATCAATCTATTGTCTTCACAGTATTGGTTGTCCAAGATAATAACATATGGTTCAGCCTCAGCAGGGATATCATTCCTTTTGATAGGGCACACACTCACTACTTCATTTGTCCCTTGACATTGTGAATCTCACTGCTGGTAGTAACATCTGGTAAACTCAATCAACATAAACTTGATCACATATGGTAGCCCTGATAGGCGCATATAAGGTATATGGTCTTTCAGTTTTGTTACTGTAAGAAGTACAATCTCTTCTCAAAATGAGGATTGGGATCATAAAGACAGAGTTGTATGCTGTTTTCTGGGTCATTACTTTGGCCTCGTTAATTTTGGTGCAGTGTCGAGATAAAAATAAAAGCAACTTAACTTATTGGCTTACTGCAACGATGGCGAAAGGCTAGCATATTGATATTATTTTATTTAAAAGCGTCTTTGAAAAGTTGGCGTTATATTAATGGCATGATTGTTGCCGAAAGCTCTTTACAGTACACCATCGACATTATCATTGCATTATTGTGTCTCTATACGTATCTGACTGGGTTTTGTTTCAATTTGCCTAGTATGATGTTTTTTTTTCCCTTTGATGAATTCTTCCTTTTGAAAAATACAATATGAGAATGATGAGAGGAAATTGAGCTTGTGAAAGCACTGCTTCTTTTGCATTGCAACTCACTGGACCAGGATTTTGTATTCACTGTCGTGTACGGTAATGCTGTCCCTTTTTGTGGGAAGGAGTTCCGTAATGAGCTTCCACCCCAACAAACACAATAAAGAAAAGACCTAACCCTGACCCAACCCTTAAACCTACCCCTACCCCAAACACTAACCCTGATCACTCTGTTCTACTGTTTCATAGTGGTTGCTCGTAATGGAATTCCTCCCTTTTTTAAGGGTCTTTTGGAATTTCTCAAGGTGTTGCAAATTCAAGGTTACGTGTGTTGAACAAATGCTCTGTGGTAAAAGTGTATAAAAGTCTCTGAAAAAAAGCCCCCCCCCCCTCCCCCATAAAATATATGTCCCTTTGGAAAAGACGCTGTCTTCTTATATGAACATAGGCACAGTGGTCTTTGCATCAGCATCTGTTCATTGGGAGATCATGAAAGACAAGAAAAACAAATAGCCAGTTCTGTAGACTGGGTTTTTATTCTGATTTCCTCGTTAGAAGAACTGTACCTGAGCCCACATGAAGCCTTTTATTGATTGATAGACGTGCTTCGGCACAGTTCAACTACGTATGTATACATGTGCCCAGATGGGCTCTGTTGCAGTGCCTTCTAGATTTTACCCCCACCCCAACCCCCTCTGCTCTGTCTTCCTCACCCTATAGGAAAATAAAGTGTAATAGCAGTAACATCATTACATTGATTCTTTTGAAAATAGGAAGCGGTCTTCTTCTGCCCTGCATGCAAAGATCTGAGAAGATTAAACAGAGCAATTTCATTTTATCTTGTTTTAACCGCTGTTAGACGAAAGTGAACAAGCTATGATTCACTGAGGTTGAATTTAAACAGCAAATTTACAGGTGCTTTTTACTGTGGTTTACAATTTTGTTATATAATGTATTTGCTTTGTGTATTTCAGGCTACCTCCCCTGTGGCTTCACTGTTCATCACCATGCAGCACAACGTCACAGTCAATGGTAAGTTCTTGTGGAAAATGATTTTGCTGTTTGACTAGGGCTAAATTTCAAAGTAGGCTGATCATTGACCCCAAAACAAGCTGTTCATAATTGCCCCTATTTGCCGATCCATTTTGTGGCAAGAAGCTTTTACAAGTGATTTCAGTGTGTGAAAATCATTTTCCCATTTTTGTAATTTTGGCCTAGTTAATAAGGAGAGAGGGACATGATATATGATGTTCGGCTGACTGGTTCTTTGTTAGTGACAAAATTTCCCAGTAGCAAGGTATACATGATCCTGGAAAAGACAATAGCATCCACTGACACATATAGCCTGAAAGAGAAGTTACCAACTGACGAGAAGAAGAAGATCTCCTTCAGTAAAAGTTGTAGTAGATTATTTCACAACAAATTTAAAATTCTTAATTAAGGATGCGCAGGTACAGTTGTATTGCAGTGCAGCATTATTATTCTGATTTGATAAACCCTGCAGTACCACAGAAACGTCATGTGAGCTGACATTTATCTTGATCAAATCATAGTTTTAACAGTAGTTATTACTGCGACAAAACTCATTTTACCAGAGCACATTGTCAGTTACTTTGGTTTGCCTCTGTTTAATTCTTTTAAATAGAAGAGCTGTTGTTTTGGCGCTCAAATGACCTTATGCAGTTGCAAGTGCCGTTAAACCTCTACTAAAACAAACAAAGTTGTTGTTAACATTACGAATGAACGTGCTGTATTAAATGCAGAATAACCGTTGGTTTAGAATAGAATTAAGACATTAGACACTTTATCTAATTTATGTTACTCTATGTTTTCCTCACCCAGACACTGCTGGAGAAGAGATGACTGTGTACAACACGGGGAGCAAGGACCTGTTTTCTGGCTTCTTCTATTTTCTCATCTGCATCGTCATCCATGCCGTCATTCAGGAATACATTCTTGATGTGAGTTCTCTTTTCTGATTCTGTGCTTGTATATATATTATCATGTTTTATTTTTATATCATGTATTATTTTTAAAATCATTTTTCTTTACAGTTTAAGTCATTAATATATTTTGGGTCACATTTTGAAGTTTCTCGCGTTACAATATCAGAAAAAGAGGAGCCATTATTAATATTACTGGTCCTGTACTTGAAAAGTTTTACCCTCAGGTACTGTGACATTTTTCACAAGGCATTTGTTATGTACAAGATATATATTTTGTGTTGTGAATTCCTTATCTGTTGCTCATGCACTTCACCTGATGCGTGATATTTCTTTGTCTCCATTGGCTGGCAGAAACTGAACCGCAAGATGCACCTGTCCAAGATCAAGCACAGCAAGTTCAACGAGTCCGGACAACTCCTAATCTTCTTTTTGGTCTCGGCTGTCTGGGGAGCGGATATCCTCTTCCGGGTGAGTGTCGTCGAAATTTTCACTGTGCTGTCAACTTGCTTGAGTCGAAGAGTCACCTGTCGTCTTTCACCTGTCACCTGTCATCTGCCATCTGTCACCATGGATATGCCCTCCAGTTGGTACCCACTCCTTGCCATAACAGGCCTCCATCTGTCCTGGTATCTGCTTTGATGAATTTAGATTGTATACACCAGTTTTGGTATTAGCTTTTTTCTTTCCCTCTGTTCTCTCCGTCTGTCTGTCTTTCTCTTTCTCAGCACAAGGTAACAGACAGATGTTTTGTTGATTTGCTCTTCATTATTCGAACTCAATCTTTGATTGTATCATTGGACTTAGGTGAAAATGGCTCTTGATTTGATTCCTCAAAATGGCATTCTGGTACATTGTCGCCGCAGGATTCTAAAGGGCTAACTCAGGGTTCTGTAAATATAAAATATTATAGGACAGTGAATAAAACTAAAGTGCAGGGGTGTTATACACATTTGAGCTTTTTAGAATCCAATATTGCAGCAATTGACTAATGTGGTTGAAAGTTAAATTTGGATATATCGTGTGTTGTTAGTCAGAGTTTAGAGAAAAAAAGGACAAATCGCCAATCAGAGTTAACTGTTTAGAATCCTGCAGCAATGACATGTAATGTTTCTTTTCTCACGACTCTTTTCTTGTTTGGCTCAGTTCTTGTGAGTGGTGATGGACATTAAATTGTATTTCCCTTCGGATGAGTAACCTTGTCGTATTAAAAAAAGACATGAACTGTGTATTAAACTGTCATTAAAATTTAGTGTATGACATAGTTTTGTTAAATTCGAGGTCCACCCTGTTAATTAAACTTATTGTGTAGCAAATGTACGTTCAGTCGTAGTCCTACTGTCATTTGGGTAAGACATAATACTATAATAGTGTTGAGAATGCTGTAAAACCGGTGATTTGTAGATCAATACTCAACACTTGTTGGGCGTCAACTGCACACTAAGCTTTATTTTTATTTGTCCTTTTTTTTCCCTTCCAGGAGAACTACATCACCAGCGTGAACCAGCTGTGGGAGGGCTATCCACACACACAGCTCCCGTGAGGACTTTTTTCTTCTACCACTGTCAATGTTTTAGGATTGAGACCTCGTGGCTTGGTTGATAATAATAATGTGAGGCGTGCTGACAAAATGAGTGTGGTTAGGCTTTCTGACTCGCAACCGTAAGGTCGTGGGTTCGAATCCCGTGAGAGGCCCGACGTAGTGTCCTTGGGAAAGGCACTTTGCACAAATTGTCCTCACTTCACCCAGGTGGAAATGGGTACCCGGCTATAGACAGTGAAAGATCTTGTTAGTTTGATAATGTTTGAGCGCGTGAAATCCGTAGCTTGCACTATATGCTTCCGCGGAAGCTGAGAATGTTTCTGAGTGTTCTCAGAGGGTCTGCTGGGGTAATGATAGTTGTAAAGCGCATAGAGCATGCTCTTGAGCATGGATATGCGCTATATGAATGCAATTATTATTATCTTGAGTTACTTCTCACAATATGGACATATCTCCCCAAAATTGACACTGGGGTCAGATTTAGAGATTTTCAATTGATGCCATTTTCTTCAAGTCCAACGTGTCTTTTATTATTCTATACTTACAAATTGTACAAAATCCACCTATAAAGTTGATGGATCAATTTCCATAAGGCTAAAATCCGAGAAGTTACTCATTTTGTCAGCACACCTCACATACAATACTGTTGAAACCGTCTGAGATGACAAACCGTCCATTGTAAAGGAGAAAAGTGGCTATGTTAGACAAGTGGCCATTTTACACAGTGCCATTATAATGTAAATGGGAAGTGACCGTTATTACAGGTGATTGTCTTAAGCAGATGGCCGTTTTTACAGTGATTGTCTTAAGCAGGTGGCCATTCGAGCAGGTTTGACTGTAGTTGTAAAGCGTATAGAGCATGCTGTAAAGCATGAATATAATAAATGGGCTATATAAATACCATTACATTTGAACCTGCTTTTGCCGCCACCTGTCCAAAACTATATTCTGTACAAACGACCACTTGCCCTTGCCCTCCGATAACGAAAAATTAAAGAAAGAGATTTCAGGTGGGGAACAGCAAATTGTACTAGCTATTGAGGATTTTGAGTTTTTCGTGTTTGTGTTATAGGTGCCCATCGGTGTATGTATATATAAGCTCTTTATGTTTTGTGTTATGCGCCTAATAGTGTAGATCCCACTTATTTTTTCCTGGGTTTTTTTTTGGGGGGAGGGAGGAGGAGGAGGATTAGTTTGTATTGTGAGATAAAATGAGGCAATATCAGTGGATCTTTGTGTGTGTCCTTGGTTTCACCTGTGGTGCTGATTCCTTGACCGTTGCTTTTTTTTCTCGTCTCCCCCTCTCCAGGTTTATCGTCAAGTTTTTCTTCATCATTCAGCTGGCCTACTGGCTACACAACTACCCCGAGCTGTACTTCCAGAAGGTCAGGAAGGTATGTATCACCGAGTGTCACCGTGTGTCAATGTGTGCCACTGAGTGTCACCAGCGATGACGGCATTGTGGGATATGTTGACCTGGACTGTCTCTGTCTCTGCCTCTTTTTCTCTCTTTCTTCACTCTGTCTATCTCTGCCTCTTTTTCTCTCTTTCCTCACTCTGTCTATCTCTGCCTCTTTTTCTCTCTTTCCTCACTCTGTCTATCTCTGCCTCTTTTTCTCTCCTTCCTCACCCTGTCTATCTTTCTCTCTTTTCTCTCTCTCTCTCTCTCTCTCTCTCTCTCTCTCTCTCTCTCTCTCTCTCTCACACTCTCTCTCGCTCTTCCCTCTGTCTTTTCCCCTTTATAACATGCAGGTAACTGGAAAGGGGGCACCATTGGAAGGCCCTACCTTTTTCTCTTTCCCTCTGACTACCTGTCCTACTATTTGCCAGCATTAAATGACCCTTATAATTTTGTCAGTGTGCTTCTCTCTACTCCAACAAATGAACGTACCTTATGATGCAGTCAATCATAATTTCAAACAATGGCTCGCTGTTGATTCTTTGTGTTTGTCTGCCTTTTTTTTTTTACCCAGCTTTGCTTGCTGAACAGTCCAGTATATCTCCGGTTTCCTCTGGCTCTGTACATAAAAGGTCAACTCTGACTCCTAAACTGCTACAGCTGTATACAGCGGAGTCTGCAAAACCTAACACGCTTAATCCCAAAACATCAGAAAACCGAAAGAAAGAAGACAAAATCCCAGATTTTTTTTGGTTCTATGTGAGCAACTGCTCTGAACTGAAATCTAGGCTGAACTAAAGAAAGTCAGGCGGTCTTGCAGATTTCGGTTTAAGTGGACTTCACAGTATATATCTAAAGGGGAAAGGAGTGCAGGCATTGGTAGGAAAGGCCAGTTAATAGTATGATGATAATGACGATTGATTGAAATGATGCTCCTCATGAAGTTGGACTTACGATGGTCTTTTTTTGCTTGTGTTTCTGTCTGCAGGAAGAGATCCCAGGACGGCTCCAGTACACGACTCTGTATCTCGTATTTATTGCCGTTGCCTATTTCCTCAAGTAAGTTCTCCGAGCCAGGGGCTTGCGATTGTTACCCAAGTCTCAGAATGTTCTTATTGCTGAATCAGTTTCCTTACATATATATATATATATATATACCAGTGTGCTGTGCTGGCCCATTTAACACCTTGTCGACTCAGAACTATTTTGTCCAAAGTGTCTCTTTACTTAAGTACACTTTGGACAAAATAGTTTTGAGGGGACGACCCATGTAAAAAATAGGCAAGGGGGAATTGGAAAGTGGCCGTTTGACTTATATGTGGTCGCTTTTAAGGACAAGTGGGCTATCCCGAAAAATGCTGTTTTGAGAAAATCAAAGATAAAGTTTCTGCCCCTTGTTCAGTTTCATTAAAAAACAAGGAGAGTTTTCTCTATAACCAAATAAATAATATTCACACCAATGATACCAAACTTCTCCTATAGGTAGAGCAATGCCCGCTTTTGGTGTAGGTCGAGATTCCAGAAATCTGGGTTAGCCCGCTTGTCCTTAAAAGCGACCATATACTTGTGGCCAGTAAGTAGAGTAGGTTTGACTGTATGTAGGAGGTGGATAAATATGACACTGCACGTCACACACAGCCAACCTGGACTAAGTGGGGTAAAGTCTCCCAGCAGATAGATACGGGAATCGAACTCGTGTCTTTGGCATGTGATGGCGAAGAACTTACCCAGCTGCACCACAGACGTCTGTAAATTAGAATGGCTACTTTTAGAATAACTCTCTTCTGTTTTTATAAGATAGCCTTACTAGAGGGTTTTTCGTAAATATCATGTGGCTTTTGTTCTTTCGCTGTAATAATTTGTTTTTTCTTCTCTAGAAACTGCAGATTCTAACCATCATTTAATTTATAGTGGTTGTTTGGAGGGCCCCACTGGTAGGTCCTACTTCTCTACTTCTTTACCTTCCCCTCTTGTTTCTGTCTGTCTTACTTTTTCCCAGTGCAGTTGTTATATCGATGTGCTTCTCTTTACTCAAACAAACAAAGAAACCATCATTTATGATAAAATGTCGTTATCTTTATTCCTCTTGTGTCCAATTATCAATGTCTTTTTATCTTTATTCGTCATGTGTGTCATTAAAAATGTCTTGTATCTTTATTCCTCAAATGTCCATTTAACAAATGTCTTTATCTTTATTCCTCATGTGTCCAATTAACAAATGTCTTTACCTTTGTTCCTCATGTGTATAATTAACTATGTCTTTTATCTTTATTCCTAATGTGTCTTATTAACAAATGTATCTTTGTTCCTCACGTGCGTACAGCTTCAACCGCGTGGCGCTGTGCATGCTGGTTCTACACTACACGGTGGAGTCGCTCTACCACATGGCCATGCTGTGCCACTTCTCCGAGAAGTCGGATGCCGCCTCGACTGTGTGAGTGTCTGGTGGTTTGTGCTGTTCGTTCTTGGGTGTTTTTTTTGTGTTCACCTCCTGCTGTGGATAGTCTCATGTTTGGTTTTGAGGGAGGCTGGTTCGTGATTTGATGTGGTCTGCTTCTATTTTAATCAGGTGGGGGATGGAGGGGGGGGGGGGGTTGCTGTAGTTTGTACCTCACTGGTGTAAAATAAAATGGGTTTGGCAATAATTTTATAACAGCTTATTTGTTCACAAATATCGTCCTTATCTCCCCTTCTTCTTTTTTATGTTTGTTACTCTCTTGCAACACCTCCAATCTTCTGGCGCTCATATGACCTTATGCAGTTGCGAGTGCTGTAAAACCTCAACTAAAACTAAAAAAAACTCTTACTTTACTAGGTAGTAAAACAAGTGTGTTGTCTTCCCCAGGTTCATGGTATTTGACGTGCTGTTTGTCTTGGTGCGGCTGGGAACCATCACTCTGGCCGTGCTCACTTTCTGGTGAGTGATTGTCCACAGTTCTGCCGTAAGCTGACAAAATGCCTTTTTTGCAATTTGGCGCCAACATTTTTTATTTGCTAAATCAAAAGCCTGATCAGTTACCATATTTGTGTGACAAAATCAAATTGAAACTGTGACTAGTTTTTGAATAAATTAGAATTCAAATTTTGAAATGACCCTATTTTAAAATGGTTTCGCTGACAAAAAAAATCTTTTTCTGGAAACTGCTGTGAAGAAAAAAGGCGTTTTGTCAGCTTACGATTAACCTGTGCTCTTTTTCAGGATACCTGAGTATAAGTAAGTTTATTCAGTGTTTGAGGCGATTGGCCCACATCGCATCATATAAAACACTCATCTAACAAATAAAGTTTCCATAATGAAAAAGTACAGGTTGTGCATGCATCTTTCATCATGGTACCTGATTGTAGGAACATTGTGAAGTGAAATTGGACACTCATCAAAATTGTATAGATTGAGCACCCTTGTGCAACACCATAAGGTTATTTGTAACAATATCTTTATTTGCAGTCTAATCATCACTTTTAAAAAAAGTCTTCATGAGGCAAAGAAGAATCATTATTAGAATAACTAATATCCAAAATATTTTCAAAAACGTTCTTGTCATGACTTTTGGTCAGTTCTCTTGACCATTCTGAAAACAGTTTTTATTGACGAACTACTGCCTTCGTAACGGAAGTGAAAGTACCGGAAGTTCAGTATCCACTTTTTGATAGAGTCTGTACAAACAGAATGTATTCGCAGATTTTACACTATTTTAACTTGGGTCCTAGTACTCTAATATTACTATTTTACTTGCAGTATAAGAGTCAATAACATCACTGCAACAGTCCCCAAAGCATTGTCTCATCTGCACTACTTGGCTACCTAAGAATTACAAAGTCCTATCTGCTCGGTACATAGTATTGAGAAATTTGACGTCAAAGATTTGGAGTTTCACAACATGGCAAGCTTTTTCGAATGCATTTCTTTGAATATGTTGATAACGACTCCGAATAATTCATTATCTTGATAGAGCAGGTAGAACAATTGTTTTTTTTATCTGATCTCTGTTACTTATGTAACCTTATTGTGTTGCAAATGCCGTAAAAAGTCTGACTAAAACTAATTAAAAAAATCTGACCCTGTTTGCTTAACTTGTGCTGTATTTGCAGGTATGGCCTGGCGCAGTCTAGCAGCCCCAGCATCGACGCAGCTGTTGGCAACTTCAACACCAATCTAGTCCGGTGAGTCTTGTGCTGTGGCACGTACAAGTTTGGTGCTTTGCCGTCTCATCACCTTCATCATTATCATCGTCGTCATCATCATCACATCCCCTTTTTTGCGTGTTTTGTTTTTCTTGAAGCGTAACAACTTGTACCATGTTGGCAAATTTTTACGTGACTTACAAATATCGGTACCAAAATTGAGACCTAGAATAAAAAAGATGCTTTGTCGTCACGCGCAGAAGACCCATTTTGATTGCATAGAGAATTTGGGGGGGGGGGGGGGGGGTTTGTAGCGAGTATTTCGGTCTTTCTGCTGTGACGCTGTATCCCTCTCAGCCCAGTTTGGCCCTGGTAAAGTTAGCCTTAGTCCTATCTTCCTCTGCTAATAATAATAACTGACATTTATATAGCGCTCAACCCCAATTAAAGTACATAAGCTCTGAGCGCTTTACAATACAGTACAATGTACTAAAGTAATTTAAAAACGTTGTGTTCTGACTAAAAGAAAATCACTCCAAGTATTCATTTTATTAATTTAAAAACGGAAATGACTATAGCTGACATCTGAATAAATCAAAAGATTTGATCTCTCTTAAAGTAGGCCTACTCGGTAAAGCTCCGATGAGTCACGAGGGACGTGAATATTCTCTGAACTAATCCTCCCTCCCCCCCCTCTCAGGATCAACTGCCTGGTGGCGGTGTGCCTGGGTCAGGCTGGACTCATGTGGAACTTCATCACCTTCCACCTGCGCAAACTGAGGGAGAGGTCGTCCTCTGGGAAGAAACCGCGCTCACCCACCAAGAAGAAGCCAGCTAAGCGTGAGTAAAGTTAGTCATCAGACTGCTCATGCTGTGTGGGTGTGTGTGTGTGTGTGTGCGTGTGTGTGTGTGTGTGTGTGTGTGTGTGTGTGTGTGTGTGTGTGTGTGTGTGTGTGTGGCCAAGAAGAAGCCAGCTAAGCGTGAGTAAAGTTAGTCATCAGACTGCTCATGCTGTGTGTGTGTGTGTGTGTGTGTGGGGATGATGAAATGATTCTGATGAGTGGTGTGTTGAGATGATAAAATATTATGAGATGACAGTGTGTAGAGGATAAGATGACGTCTAATGTATGGTGTATTTAGATGATAAAATGATGTCTGATGAATGGAGTGTAGAGAGGATAAAATGACATCAGATGAATAGTGTGTTGAGATGATTAAATATGTGATGACTGTGAGATAAAAATGACTTCTGATGTATGGTGTGTTGAGATGATAAAATGATATCAGATGAATAGTGCGCAAGAAGAGAGTGAGGCATCTGTTCTGACCCGTGGGGTTTGTTTTTGTTTCAGCCGTGGCTGCGGAGGAGCTGGACTCTCTGCCGGAAGTGGACCAAAATTCTGCCACGGAAAACGGAAACGTGCGAGCCCGCAAAGCCAAGAAATGAAAGGCGGAAAAAGACGGAAAAGTTTTTTTTTTTTAGAGTCCTTTAGGGGTGTTTCATTGATTGCATTCCATCTGGCAGTCCATGCGTGGCAAACCAACTAGCCAAGTACATTGAAGATTGTTTTGTCTTGAGTAGAAGAAATTTATGGTTTGCATATTATATATAATATATAATATATATATATATATATATCGAAAGCAACACTTGAGCTTTGACGAATTTCATGTTGAAAGGTGTTTAAAAAAAATAATATTTCGAAAAATTTTGAGAAATTGTAGTAGCTTTATTTGCACTGCCAGTGTGTGCAGGAGTATGTGTACAGGGATCTCCTGGTGTTTGTCGTAGAGGAGATGTTGAAGATAGTGGTTCTCTGTAATTTATAGCAGGGATCTGATAGGAAAACGGGAAATTCTGTGACTGGTGTTAACCTGCTGTTGGTAAATCTCTTTCTCGTAACTCGTGTGGCTTTGTGTCAGCTGAGAGCACGTTTTGTATATTTTGTACAAATGGAATGCTAGAGAGAGCTTGAGGAATTCTTTTAGCAAGTTGGTGTGGAAGGGTAATTTTTTAGTCTTATTTCTCTTCCCCCAAAATATTGATACTTCCATGTACACTTTTTCTTCTTTGTCTAGGTTCTGAATCTTCCCCCCTCCTCGATAGATAGAGACTGAGTGAGGGGAGAGAGATTTTTTTTGGCAGGGACCAATGCTGCAGAAAGCAGTCTTTTCATTTCAGGTTGTTTCTTGTTTTGAGACGAGCGTGAATTTTAGTTTGTTTTAGTTTTTAATTTTGACCGTATGAGGTTTGGTGCTGCAGATTTTCTGTTTGGCTGATTGTAGAGAAGGTTACTTTGCCCCGTACGGAACGTGTCCATTTATCTTTTAAAAGACAGTTGTCAGAGCTTGACATGTTTTGAATTTTTCTCTTGGAAACTTTTGTCATCATTTTATCGTTTTTTTAAAACTCCCTTGTTTCCCCCCCCTCTGCTGTCTCCCTCTAGAAGTATATTGCTTTGTCTCGGAGATGGACAGAAAAAGAGGAGCGAGAGAGAAAGAGAGAGAGAGAGAGTGATTATAGGACCAGAAATTTCACCTAGAGAGGCTTTGTTTTAATAATTCTCCATGCTATGTCAAAAAGTTTGAATCTTTGTCCCTATATTGGCTTATTCTGTACTGTTTTATTTTTGGGGGTTTTGTTTGTCTGTTTGTTTGGGTTAAAAAAAACAACCCTTTTGGTTTGACCTGATTTGTTGCAAAGTTGATGATGTCTTGACTCCTCTGTAGTATTTGTGATTTATTTTCCCTCCGAAGTTTTTCTTTCTGGAATTTTGTTAGAGCATTTGTGGAATGTGCTGCTGATGTTTGCCTGCTGTCTCCCCCCCCCTCCCTCCCCCCACCTCCCCCCTACTGTTTACAGTGTCCTGCTTTATTTTATCCCCCCCCCCCCCCCCCCCACCCCCTTCCCCAAGTCTTCTCATTTTCTTTTGTTCTACATCGCCGTGTGTGTCGCTGCCGAGATACACCTTATGACGAGCATTATGTTTTGTTTTTTTCGCCCCTTTTTGTTGTTTGGTTTTTATTATTTCCCTCGGCCGATGGTATGGTCCCCGCGCCACTATCTCTAGCGCTAGTGCAACAGGTGACCCAGATGGGTGCCACCCGTGTGTTGTTTGGTTTGTCTGTACTTTCATTAGACCTTGGAACGAACTGCTTGATATTTTTTTGTGATACTGTAGTGGTGATGGAGGGTCGCGATCAATTGTTCGCTTCGGGTGGTCTGCCTCGTTTTCTGCCTCCCTTGGAGAAGTCACTGTTTCGCCTTCTGCTTCCTGTCGCTCCTTCTTTTTTTCCCAGTGTTATTATTATTATCATTATTATTGTTATTATTATTATAATTATCGTTATTGCTGTCATCTTCTCCTCGAGCCTTTTCACAGTCTTAAAAAGTGTTGATGACAGTATTGTTGCAGATGAGAAACTCGCAACAGCAAACGGGTTTTTTTTGTTCGGGAGTGTGTGTGTGCAGTCGTAATTTGTTGCTAGTTTGTGTGGAAGCTTTTTGGATCCTAGAAGAGAGAGATGAAAAAGATGTTTCTTCATAAATTCGTGGTGTAGTTAGTTGGTCTCTTATGGAATTGATTGGTGGCCTTCGGTGAGAATATTGTACTATGTACTACTGTGTCTGCCTGCTACTTAACATCAGAAAAATCTCTTTGAGAGTAGACGTTTTGTTTGAGGTGAGGTGATTGAGGTGGGGGGGGAGCTGGATTTGTTTTCATGGTTTTTGTTGGGGGGGGTTTTTTTTGTTTTTTTTTGGGTGTTTAAAAAAACAGTTGTTTGTGTTTGCTTGACACTTTCCACTTTCCAAGAGTAACGTCTGAATAAGATGTGATGCGACTGTTTCGAGAGGTCCTTTCGGAGATGGACGTTAAACTCGGAGGTCCCCGCCTCTTAAATAACCTTATAGTGTTGACAGGGGCGTTAGACCTGTACCATTTCACTGTTTTTTGGTGTTTTTTTTAAAAGGTGTCTATGTTTGCTCGACACTGTACACTTTCCGAGAATAACAGCCGAGAAAGATGTGACTTGTGTTTAGAGAGGTAGTGAGGGCCGTGTAAATAGATTTACTTTATCATTTTATTGTTTGTTTATTCGTTTGTTATTTCAAAAAATGTTTATGTAATATATATATAAGTAATATATATATATGTTTTTTTTTTTTTGTGGTGGGCACTGACCTTCCCGTGTTTATGACATTTGCTAGGTGTTGTTAATTAATTAATTAATTGATTAATTAAACTCTTCAGTTTTCTTCAATTTACTATTGGATAAATGTTCCCTTGTTGTACGTACTTCTCTCTGTTGTGCGGTTGGATTGCGTTTATTTTCGCATTCTCCGACGTATTTCCAACTTTGCTGCCGCGACTGTCTTCTTCTTCTAACTTTCGGGAGTGGGTTTTTGTTTCCCCCCTAACTGTGTGTATAGCTGAGGCCTTATAGTGTAGCATAGAGTGGCTGGGTTCTCCTGATTCTATTCCTCCTTTGCCTTCTTCGAGCTTTTCAGTTTTTCTCGCGTTTATTATTGCTAAATAAAAAGGGTCTTGTAGACTTTGTATTCCCCCCCCCCCCCCCCCCCCCGTTGTTACCTAGTTTGATGTTGATGCAGAATGAAACGAGAAAAGGGAAAGAAAGAAGCAAGGCTTTCGGAGGTTTTTTTTATCCCTCCCCCTCCCCTCTCCCCTCCTCACGCGCGCATTCTGAACTTCCGGAAGTTTCATCCATGTGGTTTTTTGCTGGGTATTCTTGGTCACATCAAGAAATGGCGGTGTGAGATATATATATATATATATATATATATATATATATATATATATATATATATATATATAATATATTATTGTCGTGGTTGGCCAGAATCAAAATGTGTGACAGGAAGTGAGAGTCGTACAATAGTTAGCCAATCGATCGTTCCCAGATGCGTGCTCACTCTCAACCCCCATCCCGCAAAAAAAAAAAATAAATACAAACCTCAAAACAAAATGAAAACTTTTTGTTTGCAGGGGCTGTGGAAGTGCGGTTTGCTGACCAATGAATAGATTTAACTGTAAGAATGGATGAGCATGCGATGTATCACACATATAATAATTTTATCATTACTTACGAGGATACTATAATTCTAATGTTCTTTGTGATTGTTCTTGTTTTGCTGGTGTTGGAAATAATTTTTTGTTGTTGTTTTTGTTTTTGCGCCTTGTACTCTCATGCTGACTTTGTGCAGTTTTTAGGAAGATACTTTTAATGTTTGTCTGATGACACGATGTCTGATGACGTTTAAAAAAAAATTTCTTCCTTGTTCTGATTTTGTGTATGCTGCTTTCAAATGGTGAAAGTGACAAATGTTCATATGGATAAGGATTTTATTGCGTCGTTGTGCATAGATGATGTGTTTTGTGGTTCTAGTCGTCTGACGTAGAAGAGCGCCCGGCTTCCGTGTCAGTGGTTAAGTTGGTAATCATTACGTGAAGACTGGGTGGTTGGCGGGCGCTCTGGTGTGGTTTGCTCCTTCTTTCCTATCAAACTTCTGTCGTCCTTATCTCCCCTCCTTCTTTTTTGTGTACGTTATTGTTACTCTCTTGTGACCCGTAATCTATTCTTCGGCACTTATATGACCTTATTGTGTTGCAAGTGCCGTAAAACTCTTACTAAAACTTATGTGAAGACTGTCGTCGTGTCGTGTGGTTGGTTGCTTGGGATCAAATCTGCTCCCCAACCGAGTTATTGCTAATTGTAAATGTTTGATTGATTGATGGCCCCCGTTGTTGACGCAATTTATTTAGGTGCATGTAATTTATTACACAGACTGCTTGCATGCTGTTTGTCAGGGCCAGTCGGGAGTTGTTGTATTGTGTGGTGGGATGTTGCGTCCGAGATTCTTCAAGGATGTTAAAATTACCTACATGTTTATTATCTTGCTCTCACTGAGCTGTTATCCTTTACTCGCTGACCAGATAGCTGGACTGTTACCTATCCCCCATAGACACTGGTCACAGTTGCGAGCGTCATAAAACCTTATTGAAACTAAAACTAAACACTGGTCACAGTGACAGTTTTCGTTTGAGGTTTTAGCTCTTTTAGAATTATATCATTGATCACACTATTTAAAAAAATTATTTTTTCTCTCGTCAGAAAAGGTGAGGGGTAGTAGTATGTTGCAAGTGGTAATGGAGATTTGTAGATTTTCTAGTTGCGAGGAAATATAAGGCCTATTGAGATTTTTGCATTCTGTGCTTCTGAAATTTGAAAAAAAAAGTTTGTTGTAGTCAAGATGTATTGGACTTCGGGATGTTTTTGGTGCTGTGTACAATGTGTCTGAGTAGTACGGGGTAGTAGAAGTTAAGCAAGTGCTCTGTGTGTATACTGCCAGTGACTCATTTGTAGAGCTTGGACGACACATTTTGTAGAGTTATGACTACGCAAGATTTTGATGTGTTTCGCGCAGGGAATTGGGTTGCTTGACTCTGGGTTACTAGGCTCTTGACTCTGAGTTAAAGTTACTTTACTTTACTTTACTTTTCTGATACGGCAGCCATTTGGGTTCTAGCCCTTCGGCCTGCTGAGTAAAGTTAAAGAGGTTCTCATTTTTATCTGTTTGATGATACTGGTGTGGTCTGCTCCTTTTCCTTCTTGAAAAAAAAAAAATTCATCGTTCCACTTTTGTCTTGGTCTGCTTTGAGGTGAATGTGATGGTTGTTGTCCTGCAAACTGACCAAGTGGGTGGTTGGTGGGTGCTCTGGTATGGTTTGCTCCTTCTTTCCTTCTATCAAAATTCTATTGTCATTATTATCATTGCTCCTCCTTTCTTTCTTTGTACATGTATATTACTCTCTTGATTAACACCTTAAATCTTTGGCACTTGTCTTTTAGTACGACCTATTTGTGCTACAAGTGCTCTAAATCTCTTGCGCTAAAAACTCTAAATTTAAACTAACCTTTTAGAGACGACGTCAGACTCAATAACAACGGCTATTGTTTGACTGTCTCACTTATGAGATTGCTACCTGGCCCTACAACACAAAGTATGCACTCTGTCTATAGTTGTGACCATAAATTTAAACAAATGTACTTTCCAGATCCATAGTAATTACAGGTGGGTGGCTGGTTGGTTGGTTGGTTGTTTTCAGGGACTGGAGTGTAACTCCCCCCCTCCCCCTCCAACCTCTCCTCAAAGTGGTGTTGGGAATGTTGTTCACTGCATCCAGAGGGAGGTACAACAACACATAATTTAATGATAGAATAAACTTTTGAAGCTAGGACGTGAGCAGGCCCAATAATTAGAATTTACATAATTTGCTTGAGCAAAGCAGAAAAAGACTTGTTCTCGTATTGAAACCATCATAATGATTGAGGACTAGACTAGCACAGGGAAAAGAACAGCGTTACTCAGTCAGTTGTGTTTCTGATGTGACTTTTACCTTGTTGTCTCGTGTCTCTCCCTCTTTTCTTTTTTCTTTTTTCTTTTTTTCTTTTCTTCCCTTCCCCATTCCTTTCCTCTTTTCCTTCTCCTTCCCTATTCCTTTCCTCTTTTCCTTCTCCTTCCCATTCCTCTCCTCTTTTCCTTCTCCTTCCCTATTCCTTTGCTCTTTTCCTTCTCCTCCCCTATTCCTTTGCTCTTTTCCTTCTCCTTCCCTATTCCTTTGCTCTTTTCTTCCCTTCCCCTTTCCTTTCCTCTTTTCTTTTTTCTTTTTTTCTTTTCTTCCCTTCCCCATTCCTTTCCTCTTTTCCTTCTCCTTCCCCATTCCTTTCCTCTTTTCCTTCTCCTTCCCATTCCTTTCCTCTTTTCCTTCTCCTTCCCATTCCTTTCCTCTTTTCCTTCTCCTTCCCTATTCCTTTCCTCTT